AAAAAAAAAAAAACCAGAAAGCCTCAGATAATCTCCAACATATCATTCTATTATTGTTATTACATTTACCATAATCTAAAAACTTCTTTTTAAGCAATGAGCTGAGATTATGCCACTGCACTCCAGCCTGGGCAACACAGTGAGACTCTGTAAAAAAAAAAAAAAAAAGCAGCATGACCACAATCCACAATGCAATGGCTACCCCTGGCTTCCGATCATTCTTCTTTGCTCTCAGACAACTGCTCCTAGAGGAGTTGGCTCCTGGCTGTTCCTGTACTTCTTGCTTCCAGACAGCCCTTCACCGCCATTGTCTGGGGAACCAATGTCTACTAAGGAAAGTTCTCCCCTCAAGTGCTTCAAAACCACATGTATTGACTAACTCACATCTCATTTCACATCCCCAAGAAGCAGAGCACTAAAGCCTAGGCCGCCAAGACATTAAGGAGGAACTGTCTGTGCATGTACTCAATAATCTAATGCCCTCTACTATTGGTTCAAGAATAGGACCTAACAGTTACTTCCACAAAAGCTTTTGCCACATAAAATTAAGCCACAAGTCCATTCTCCCCTTTGCCCTGATTCTGAGTACAGATATTTCTAAATATTAATACACTAACCATGCTATGGGTAGGAGATTCTTTTCGGCTAGCAATAATTTAAGATGGGAGCCCAGAGATGTCAATTTCAAGATCTGCCACCTTGCCCAATCCAGGTACCTGCACAACCACCCTAGAGTCAAAAAACTCTAATGCAGGGGTGTCCAATCTTTTGGCTTCCCCAGGAGACACTGGAGGAAGAAGAACTGTCTTGGGGCACACATAAAATACACTAACAGTAGTGATAGCTGATGAGCTTTTTAAAAATCGCAAAAACAAAACAAAACAAAAAAACCCTTAATGTTTTAAGAAAGTTTACAAATTTGTGTTGGGCCACATTCAAAGCTGTCCTGGGCTGCATGCAGCCTGTGGGCCATGGGTTGGACAAGCTTCCTCTAATGCATCCTGTGTCTTGCTCAGACCACATTGACACAATCTCTGTGGAGGAAATGTATCCTACATATGACAACCAGCAGTTAATACTGTTTTCTTCTTCTTCTTTAAGCTATTTACATTTTTAATGATGTGTTATCAGTAAACTATTTCTTGAACTTAAACTATTAATAAATATTCATTTAGGTGAGTTTTGCCATTTCTTTTGAGTCTATCTTCTATGAGGAGAGAAAACAACCTGTTATTGTTTGACCTTTAATTGTAATCCCAATCCCTCACCCCCTATTCCCTGCGATCAAGGTAAATAGTCTAACTTCTCATTACACACCTATACTCAGATCCTTTGAGTTTTCAACTCCAAATTCCTTGGAAGAACAGAGATTATTAGTGTTGAAATTTCTGGTTACAAAAATTTGAGAAATGATTCCTTAAAAGGCGCAGTAAAGACTCTTAATACTAACTAGGGTTTAGCAACATCTTAAGAGAAAGAGTGTAAAAGTCTCCACAGACACCAGTGTGCCCATGGTAGCCATCCTGAAACCTATAATATTTCATTAACTATGAAACCCAATCAAAAGCAGCTGGGCCTTTAATATAGTCATTAGTTAGCAGACCTGCCTGAAAGGTAGATGGTCTGCTCAAGTCATTCTCACATATGGCATAGCCCTGAGCCTGATCCCACAGCTGTATCAGGAAGGCTTTGAACTTCTACAAGTTTCCAAGAAGACGACAATTTTGGAAAATGTAGCAGAACTTTAAAAATTCAAACAAACTCTTCCAGTATCAAAATTTAACCATCAAGTTTTGTAAGAACAATCAGATCTTGACTTTAGCCCAGATAATCTGAAATTACATACCATCTAAAATATCCACAGTATTTCCCAGGCCTGTGTCTTCCTTATTATATGCTCCTTGACCTTTGCTTAATCAAGTCCTACCCATCTCTCAAGATTTTCCATAAGCCCTATCCTTCTCCTTACTTGAATCATTTTCTGATTTCTCTTCTCTGAAGTCTTATACAGTGTGTACCTAGCTGTTGCCTATGTGTGCATACACACACATGCAGACACACACAATTTATATTGCTGTGTTGCTAATTATTTTATGTAGGTTATTTTCATTTTAGGTTTGTTTTTTTTTTTTTTTGGGGGGATGAAGTCTCACTCTATTGCCCAGGCTGGAGTGCAGTGGCACGATCTCAGCTCACTGCAACCTCCGTCTCCCCGGTTCAAGTGATTCTCCTGCCTCAGCCTCCCTAGTAGCTGGGACTATAGGCGTGCACCACCATGCCCGGCTAATTTTTGTATTTATAGTAGAGACAGGGTTTCACCATGTTAGCCAAGCTGGTCTGGAACTCCTGGCCTCAAGTGATCCATCGGCCTTGGCCTCCCAAAGTGCTGGGATTACAGGTGTGAGTCACTTTATGTAAGTTACTTTATTAGTCCTTGAGCTTTTCTTTTCTTTTCTTTTTTTGAGACATTCTGTCAGCCAGGCTGGAGTGGAGTGGTATTATCATAACTCACTGCAGCCTCAAACTCCTGGGCTCAAATAATCCTCTTGCCTCAGCCTCCTGAATACCTGGGACTATAGGCATGAGCCACTGTGCCTGGAAACTTTTAATTTTTAAATTTTTTGTAGAGATGGAGTCTTGCTATGTTACCCAGGCTGGTCACAAACTCCTGAGCTCAAGCGATCCTCCTGCTTTGGCCTCCCAAAGTGCTAGGATTACATGTGTGAGCCACCTCGCCTGGCCTCTGAGCTTTTGGTCTGGGAGAATAATGCTGTACATTTCGTTGAACTCCCTATATATCACCTAGCCTGGTTCTAGACAGAAACTGGTCTCAATAACTAATTCATTACTCAGATATTTTTTCCCTCCCTCCTTTATTTTACTTATTGTTCTGACTTCTATTATCTCTTATTTTACTTATTGTTCTGATTTACTTATTGTTCTGATTTCTTTTGAGACAGAGTCTTGCTCTGTTGCCCAGGCTGGAATGCAGTGGCGCAATCTCAGCTCTCTGCAACTTCCACTTCCTGGGTTCAAGCGATTCTGCTGCTTCAGCCTCCAGAGTAGCTGGGATTACAGGCGCCCTAATTCTTTATATTTTTAGTAGAGACAAGGTTTTACCATGTTGACCAGGCTGGTCTTGAACTCCTGACCTCGAGTGATTTGCCCACCTCAGCCTCCCAAAGTGCTGGGATTATAGGTGTGAGCCACTGCGCCCAGCCTCCTCCTCTTATTTTAAGCCTAGTTTTAAAAATGGATGCACTTTTCTGAGACCATACCATTGGGAGTGGAAAGGTGGCCTGGAAATCAGGTCATAGCAGAAAAAGGGGAAGCAAGAAGACAGCTAAAATGCTTCCTATAGATAACTCATAATGGGAACAGTTTATCTTTGGATGATAGAGTTGACCATTTATCAATTTTGAATAAAAGGTATCTCACTAGTAGGCAATACAGGTGTGAGTCACTGCACCTGCTGATCTAAGGGGGTTTTTTGTTTGTTTCAACTTCACCTTCTAAGAGAGTCTACAGCTTGTGTGACATCTATGTGAACAAGAAACAAGCTTCCAGAGCTCCAGCTGTAATTAAACAGATTCTATTAGCCAGATGTATAGGGGAACAGTGAGTCTGAGATGACACCTCTGGCCTAAAAAGCTTCATATTAGCTGAGTTAAGGCTCCCCCATATCCTTAGTTCTAGTATTAACAGCTTGTATAGAACATATACGTTATGATTACATGATAATCGCAAGAATGTCTCTGGTTTATTGCCTTTTTTGAGATTTGAAAGTTGGAGTTCTTATGATCTCAGACAAAAATTTAGAGTAATCTTTGCCAAGGGAAATATCAAACAACATTTTAATCCTCCAGACAGGATTAAAATCAATGTTTCTGATGTTGCTCGAGATGCAGACAAAAGCATAAAATTGTGCCTTCCCTACTCTACACAAGGAGGAAAATTTCTCAAGCCTGTATGGAGTTTTCTCCCATGTGAAACGTCACCAAAAAACCCAGAAACCCAAAGGCCTCCTTGCTGTCAAAGACTATCAGGAGGGAGGTCTGGTGGAACAAGATGACCAGCATGCTATGACAGGCTCTAAGATGTGGGAGCAACTGGACCTGGTTGGGTGATTTATAGGCAGAAATCTGACCCGGGGCCTGGAGACCCCGGCTAGAGAGTTCAATAAAGATGCTCGAGAGTTTCAGCAGGTGAATAAGGTGCTCCTCCTTCCGCACAGCACCGAGAGCAAGCTCCTGGCAAAGCGGCAAGGCCCACACGGAGAAGTCTGGAGAATCGGTCCATTCGATTACGACGTCCTGTGCCCAGATAAACAAGAAAGAGAAAAGGAGTCATCATGTCAACTGATGGAAAGCCTAGTGGGCACAGGAAGTGGTCTCGATCACCCAGCTGGAAGAGGTGTGGATATAACTCGTCAGGTCCTAGGGACGTGCCCCTGCCAGATGGCGGGGAAGACAGCACTCTCAGAAGATGATTTTGGAGAGATTTCCTCCTCTTTGCTGGGGAGAATGTCGACAGGAGCCCACCATGTCAAGAAAGGACCCAGACGCAAAGCTGAGAAAAGATCCTGAGGCATCCCAAGACACACCAGCAGGCAAAACAAAAAGGAGAGCCAACCAGAAGTGAAAAGAAAACCCCAATGTGAAATCATTTAATACTTAAAAGGTGGGTAAAAAAGAAGACTATTTAAGGTAGTCGTAGGCCCTAATGATTCGGTATCAAAGGACATGCTTCTATCAAGATTGGAGCTTTGTATTTTAACAGGTGGTCCATATTCAAAACGACCTGCCCCAGAGAATTACTACTTTTTCAATGACAGTCTGTGGGCATAACCCATCATCATAAAAAACTCTAGCATTATATTTTCTCTTATTCTGAGGAGCCCCAACCCAGACTTAGTCAGTGCTTGCAATTGCCAATATACAACTGTTTCTAAGGCCATATATATTCCCCTACCCCACCAAAATTGTCCTCCTGCAGCTGGGACTCAGTCACTTTCCCTGTAACAGCAAACCAGCTTAGCAAACGCTAGCATCAGAATAGAGACTTGAATTACTCATAGCGCATCACGGCAAGGAGAAAAATACATGCATTCTGGTCTCACATGCATACAAAACCTTCATTTGATTAAAAAGAACTCAGAGTCTGCGAAATCCTTCAGGCATCAATTCCAGGACTTCGTTTCCCTATCTGTTAAGAAACTGTACTGAAGATGTAAACTTTAGACAATTCTTACTCTCAAAATTAAAAAAAAAAAGTTCCCTACAGATTCTTGTTATGTAACTTGTGGATTCATTTAAGATTTGGATATCTCTTTCCTATACTTCAGTTTCCATGGATGTCAATAAGTCAGTCCCAAAGACAGCATTTAATAGTCAGTGGCATCAACCTGCCCCAACGTGCTGATAATGAAGCTGATGATCAACGCTTGTCCTGATACTAAGCCATTACCCAGCTTTCACTTCTAATTACAGAATAGACTCCTCTCATTTGATACCAAGGTGGTCCTTTGTGAGAAAATCTGGGGCAGGATTTCTTAAAATACGATGAAAAGGGCATACTGTTTGAAATACATATTCCTGAGCCTGTAGTCAGAAATCTCTCTGCATCTGGAGGTAAAAGCTCCTCAGGTGAGAGCCACTACTCTTGGACTTTTCTTTCCATGACAATCAGGGGCTTTATTCACACATAGGCTCTTCCCCAGAGATCAGTGTTAAATTTTGGCCTTCAAAAAAGCCTAACCATGAGCATCTCATTCCCATAGTCCTCATCCTACAATATCACACCGAAGATTCTGGTTTAGTTGTGCTCCACAAAGGAGTCTAACTAAAGCATTAAACTCAGAAGCATATATGAAAATACTAAATGAGATAGTGTTGAATGCATTACAGCAGCTATTTTAAAAAATCGAGTAGTAGGCCAGGTGTGGTGGCTTACGCCTGTACTCCTAGCACTTTGGGAGGCCAAGGCGGGAGGGTCACTTGAGCCCAGGAGTTTGAGAGCAGCCTGGGCAATATGATAAAATCCCATCTCTACAAAAAAACTACAAAAAAAAATTAGCAGGGCATGGTGGTGCACACCTGCAGTCCCAGCTACTAGAGAGGCTGAGGTGGGAGGATCACCTGAGCCCAGGAGGCAGAGGCTGCAGTAAGCCATGTTCATGCTACTGCACTCCCGCCTGGGTGACAGAGCCAGACCCTATCTCAAAAAAAAGAAAAAAAAATTGAGTAGTAATGGAAATATGTGAGAAAACAACTGATTTATAGTGTGAGCAACTAAGGAAAGTATAATGGCTGGCATGGTGGCTCACGCCTGTAATCCCAGCACTTTGGGAGGCTGAGGCAAGAGGACTGTTTGAACCCAGGAGTTGAGATCAGCCTGGGCAACATGGTGAAACCCTTTCCCTACAAAAAATTTAAAAAGTAGCTGGGCGTGGTGGTTAGTGCGTCTGGTCCCCATTCCTCAGGAGGCTGAGGTGGGAGGATTGCTTGAGTCTGGGGAGGCTGAGGCTGCAGTGAGCTGTGATTATGTCATTGTACTCCAGTCTGGGTGTCAGTGAGATCCTGTCTCAAAAAAAAAAAAAAAAAAAAAAAGTATGCCAAAAAAAAAAAACCAAACCCCTCTTTTTGTTAGCATGAGTTGGCATTTTTGTTGAGATCCTGAAGCAAGAAACAATGTTATTCTATATGCTTCCAAACCTTAGAAGATTATACACACCCCTCCTCCTCCTAAGAAATTACTGATGTACTGGAAAAATTGGAGATATCACAGTTAAGTTAAAACTGATTGCTTTTTTCATACTTTAGATTACCTCAGAGAAAACTCTTCCTTAAAACATTATCTCTGTAGTTACGATGTTACATGCACACCACCACCTGCTGAGGCCAAATCCTGCTACAGTGTGCGTAATTCATAGGGGGTGATGTGGGAAAGGCCAGGATGGCTTTGTTTGTGGTCTTACTTTGAGATGACAAAGCGTGTCAGTGTTCTCACAGGTATGTCCTTTTAAAGGACATCTGAAATCTGAAAACCGCTCTCCCCTCTTACTTTGGAGAAGGAAGAAGGGCAGGGTGCACATACCAATGGCGGGCCCTCCTTGCTTCTTCTCTTCCAAGATGGCAGCCAGGTCTTTGTGCACGGATTTCTGATGCTGACTGGCCGGCGGCTGCTCCAACTCCGGACTTTTCACTTTTAAAAGTTGATTTGCCTTCTTAATCTTCTGACTGTACTGCCGAGCCATCATAAACACCCTGCTTTTTGTCTTATCTGTGGCCTCCATCCCCAGGTCAGGGTTTTCTGGGTCTGTTTGAGACAGGCCACTGTTGGCCAGGTCATAGGGATTGTCCATGAGGGGCAATTCACTGGCCAGAGAAAGCCGGTTAAGGCTCATAAAAGAGCCTTCTTTAGAAATCAGGTCTTCCTCAAAGGGGCAGTTGGCATGGCTGGCTCTGCTGGCCCTGCTCTTCACAGGCGTGAGGAGAGCCTGGCTCTCGGGCAGGGATAGTGTGGACACAGAGCGCCCTGCCTCCCGGCTCAGCTCAGGGGTGCTCTCTGCGTACAGCCTGTCTGGCACATCATCCTTGCTCACAGGAAATGCTGCCAGGAGGCGGTCTCTGGCCTTGTCTTCGTTTTTCTTGATGTAATTTTCCAGGTCATTCCAGATTTCATCTACTTCTTCGGACAGTTTATCAGATACAGGCTTATCAGGCATAGACAAGTTACAGCTGGGAGAGTCGTACAGCAAACTCAGATAATCATGATCAGGGATGTCCTGATGGTAAGGGGCTTCGTCCTCACTGAACTGGAGGCTGTCTTGGGAAACAAACGGCCTCAGGCTGTCACAGCATACGAAGTCAGCCTCCAGTCCCAAAAACGTGCTCCGCTTTGCACGCTTTAGGCTGCTGCACTTAAAACCCAGCGACGGAGGATCTGGGAGCCCTATGGTGTCATAGATGTTCTCCTCAACTGCTTGGAGTTCATGCGTGCTTTGGCTGGATGCCTCTCCACCTGAGAGAGCATCATCTTTTTGTGCGTAAAGAGAGCCCTTACTGTGGCCAGCTTGCCTCTTTGTGAAGGCTAACTCTGGGGTGCTCTTGGGGCGAACAGAGTCCCTGGCTGATTTAGAGGGCGTGGATTCAGCTTCTTCCCGCTTAGCAACCATTAGTTTTAGGTCCTCATAACTGATGTTATCATAGACATGGTCAATGTCATCAATGGTCAACTCGATGGATGACCCAAAGGGAGCCATTTCCTCCTGCCCTCCTGTTTTGGGGCCGTTCTGCAGTTCCCTAGTTCTGTCACTAGGTCCTATTTCAGGAGGGCACGTGTTGCTCTCCCCAGCACTGCTGGCCCGCCTGACAATCCTGTGACCAGAGCTGGAGGTCTCTGTGGACTCCATCTGTCCCATGTGCCAGCTGCAAGGGCGACTAGAAGTGCTGTCTTCACATAGTCGGGTAGAGTTCAGATCTGAGGAGGAAAAGGACGGCACGAACATCTGATAATCATCTTCGTCATCCTCGTTCTCCTGCGGGGACCGCCGGCTGGGAAACAAGGCTTGCCTGATCTGGTGATCGGTCCAGATGTTTCTGAGGGCTCCACCCGTTCGAAGCACGCTGATCATGGCGGAACTGCTGGGCTGACTGTTTCTCTGGGCAGGAGATGGCCTTGCTGAAGTCAGCTGGGGAGATCCTTCCTCTCTAGAAACCTGAGGAAGATGGAAACATATCAACTAAATCACAGCACCATGGAGAAGACACATAACTCAGGAATTTCTCCTGTGTTTACACACTGCCTCCCCTACTAGGCTTTAACCTTCTTTTTTTTTTTTCTGAGATGGGGTCTTGCTGTGTTACCCAGGCTGATCTCAAACTCCTGGACTCAAGCAATCCTCCCACCTCAGCCTCCGAAGTAGCTGGCACTACAGGTGTGAGCCACTGCACCTGGCTGAGTGTTTAACTGACTTGAAAAGCACTTCAGATATTTTCAAAAAAGGAAGGACAGGAACTAATATATACTTAGGAACTAGGCTGGGCAATGTGCAGACATTCTCCAAACTTAATATTCACAATCATTTTATGAATTAGATATGATCGTACCAATCTCACAGTAAGGAAATCTAGGTTCCTGAAGCTTCAGTAACTTGCTCTAGTCAGTAGTAAGGCTGGTGCTAGAACCCAGGTCTAACCCCAAACCCCTTGCCCCAAAGCACGATGTAAGCTAAATACAGAAAACTCTTAGATTCTTCAAATAAGTCTGGTGTACACTTGGCAGATATTCATTGCATAAATTAATATACATAGAAGTGAAGGGCCATGCTATCTGGTTTCTATTTGAGACTTTCTAAGAAGCTTTAGAGCCAGTGCTTGTCTCCCAGGGGTTTTAGCGTGGTTTCTGGTATACCAAAAGCCCCTGCTGCTGACCTGACCGCACACTCCAAGGATTTCTCTTAAATCTGCAGACCCGCCAGGAACATGGCCAGCACTACCTTGGTTTATAGGTTCTAGGCAAAGAGTTTTTATTGTAGGAATGTAATTTAATCCTCTGTTGAGTTAACGATATTTTTACTTATTTCAAAATACATTTAATTAACATTTAGTTGCCTATAAGGAAGAAAAATAGGAACGATATTAATAATTTTTTAATTTTAATTTTTTTCTTTGAGACAGAATCTCACTCTGTTGCCCAGGCTGGAGTGCAGCCTGGGTCACTTGGCGTGATCTTGGCTTACTGCAACCTCTGCCTCCTGGTGTTCAAGCAATTCTCGTGCTTCAGCCTCCGGAATAGCTGGGATTATAGATGCCCACCACCATGGTTGGCTAATTTTTGTATTTTTAGTAGAGACAGGGTTTTGCTGTGTTGGCCAGGCTGGTCTTAGACAAAGTCCTGGCCTCAAGAGATCCGCCCACCTTGGCCTCTCAAAGTGCTAGGATTATAGGCATGAGCCACTGCACCTGGCCAAATTAGTGATTTCTAATCAAAGAAAACAATGGGTCTTTTATAACTTGGAACCCTTCTGGATGGAGCTCGGTGGTGCAGGCAGGAGCAGATACCCTCTGATCCTATTCTGCAGATAGAAGGATTAACTTCAAAGGCGTGAAAGGGTTAAGACCTAATTAGTACCAGGGACATATAATCTAATAAAACACTACAGTAACCTACTGGAAATGTCAAATAAGCAAGAACTTTTCATCACATGTCAATGAAAATGGGATATATGTTAATTGGAATATCTATTAGGGAGGGAAGAGAGTAGAGACAGAATAATAAAATTTCATCCTAAATGTTATTTTTCTATTAAAACTTAAGCAATTCAATTAGTCATTTATTTCTTTTCACACATACACACACACACAATATTTATACCTAATATTTGTCCACATATATGTTTTTCATATTATTTAATATACCTTCCTCTTCACCTTACTCAGACTGCACTGGTGTAATGTTACAAAAATACAGGTAGTCAGTAACTACTTTTTATACAGTAAAACAAGGTTAATATTAACTAGTTAAATTATGACAAAACACTTTTAAAGTGTAACAAAATTATTTCGTGTTTCTCAGCTAAAAATGATCCATCCCAGAAAATTCCCATAGGTTTTAGAAAATTAGGAGACCTGAATTGTTAATATTGAAGTTATCTTTTTAAGGTAATTACACTTGAAATGAAAATAGCAGTTTTGGCCAGGCACAGTGGCTCACACCTATAATCCCACCACTTTGGGAGGCTGAGGGGGGGGTGGATCACCTGAGGTCGGGAGTTCAAGACCAGCCTGACCAACATGGAGAAACCCATCTGTACTATAAATACAAATTAGCTAGGCGTGGTGGCACATGACTGTAATCCCAGCTACTTGGAAGGCTGAGGCAGGAGAATTGCTTGAACCTGGGAAGCAGAGGTTGCAGTGAGCTGAGATGGCACCATTACACTCCAGCCTGGGCAACAAGAGCAAAACTCCGTCTCAAAAAAAAAAAAAAAAAAAGAGCAGTTTTTTGGAAGCTGTAAATTTACATAGAATTAATCATTAAGAAAATTGAAGATGCTCTTAAATTAAGAAGTAATCATCCAGGCACGGTGGCTTATGCCTGTAATCCCAGCACTTTGGGAGGCCAAGGCAGGTAGATCACTTGAGCCCAGGAGCTAGAGACCAGCCTGGGCAACATGGTGAGATACCCTGTCTCTACAAAAAAAATTTTAAAAAGAAAGAAAGAAAGAGAGAAAGAGGAAAAGAGAGAAAGAGGCAGTGAGTGAGAGAGAGAGAGAAAGAGAGAGAAAGAAAGGAGAGACAGAAATAGGGGGCGGGGAGAGAGAGAGAGACAGACAGACAGGCAGGATGGACACAGTGACACACACCTGTAACCCCAGCACTTTGGGAGGTGAAGGTGGTAGGATCACTTGAGTTAAGGAGCTTGAGACCAGCCTGGGCAACATAGTTAGACCTTGTCTCTACAAAAAATGAAAGAATTAGCTGGGCGTGGTGGCGCATGCCTGTAGTCCAGTTACTTGAGAGGCTGAGGTAGGAGGATTCCTGAGCCTGGGAGGTGGAGGCTGCAGTGAGCTGAGATTGTGCCACTGCATTCCAGCCTGGGTGACAGAGTAAGACCCTGTCTCAAAATAAACAATTTTTTTTTTTTTAAGGAAAGAATCAGCATATGGTTGGTCACAATATTGAAAGTCATGGTAAAAACCACACTTACTTTTGCACCAGCCTCATAATTTCAATACCTCAATTTTACCACAGCCTGAATGAACTTTTTTCCTATCCTTCCACATTCTCAGCATTTGAGCTATTTAACAATGATATTAGCTATCATGTTTTTATTTTTTGAGATGGAGTCTCACCCTGTCACCCAGGCTAGAGTGCAGTGGCACGATCTCGGCTCACTGCAACCCCCGCCTCCCGGGTTCAAGCAATTCTCCTGCCTCAGCCTCCGGAGTACCTGGGACTACAGGCGCACGCTGTCACGCCTGGCTAATTTTTTGTATTTTAGTAGAGATGGGGTTTCACCGTGTTTGCCAGGCTGATTGTGAACTCCCGAGCTTAGGCAATCCGCCTGCCTCGGCCTCCCAAAGTTCTGGGATTACAGGCGTAAGCCACCATGCCTGGCCTATATTAGCTATAATTTATAGAACACTTGCTTTGTGCCAAATATTCCATTAATAAGCACTTTTAAGAACATGTTGCATTTAATCTTTATAACAGTTCTGTAAATTAGGAAACCAAGTCCTGATAAGGTTAAGCAATTTGCCTGCAATCACACGGTTTATAAATGGCAGAAATGGATTTGAATCCGTGTCTTAAACCACAGCTTACACATGAGCTTAACCGCCTCATACACACATGTACGCAGTCTCAGAATATATATTCTGGGAGAAATAGTAAGCTATTATTAAGAAATATTTCCTGTTATAAACTACTTATTTATTTATTTATGAGACAGAATCTCACTCTGTTGCCCAGGCTGGAGTGCAGTGGCACTATCTCAGCTCACTGCAACTTCTGCTTCCCGGCTCAAATGATTCTCCAGCCTTGGCTTCCCAAGTAGCTGGGACCACAGGCACAAGCCACCATACCTAGCTCATTTTTGTATTTCTTTTGTAGAGAGGGGGGTTTTGCCATGTTGCCCAGGCTGATCTTGAATTCCTGAACTCAAAGTGATTTGCCAATCTTGGCCTCCCAAAGTGCTAGGATTACAGGTGTGAGCCACCTGTATAACATGCCTAGTTGTTATAAACTCTTTCATTAGCAGTAAATCTGATCTCCTTGAATTTAATGTACCTTCAGCACATTACTATTAGGAGATGGAATTTTATCACAAAAAGAAAGCATGGGTGTTTTCTTTCTTGCCTTCTGATGGTATCAGGTTTGGTTATGCCCATATGGACCTGGCTTGAGCATTGCTGTAGGAAGTTTCCAAGCAGCTCCTGAGATTGAATTTCTAGAACTCTTTGACAGGGAGATTCCTTCTTTTAGCACTGAGAGGGCACGGCTCCACAATGCTACTATGGCTGCTTTGAAGAGCAGGGAGCCTTCTGCTGTAACCCCACTTATGAAATCAAAACCTTATGCCATATTTCAGGACAATGAACCAATTAATATTAATAAGTTTCACACGTTTCCAAACAAAAACACGTATTACCTGAAAAAAAATGCACACGCCTCAGCCATGACAATCACTTAAAGGTAAGACTATGTTCGGCCAGGCATGGTGGCTCACGCCTATAATCCCAGCACTTTGGGAGGCCGAGACGGGTGGATCACCTGTGGTCAGGAGTTCCAGACTGGCATTGCCAACTTGGTGAAACCCCCAGCTCTACTAAAAATACAAAAATTAGCTGGGCATAGTGGTGGGTTCCTGTAGTCCCAGCTACTAGGCTACTCGGGAGGCTGAGGCAAGAGAATTACTTGAACCCGGGAGTCAGAGGTTGCAGTGAGCCGAGATTGCACCAGTGCACTCCAGCCTGGGCAACAGAGTGAGACCCAGTCTCAAAAGAAAAAAAAAAAAGACTACGTTGATTTTTAGACATTTTCTTGGTTTTAATGGAAAGATACAACATTTATCAACAGGGTTACTTTGTTTCTGTGCTAAGCCATGGTGGAAATGAGATTGTAGGGATAGGTTTTCATAGCCATATTCTTCCAGATACAGAACATTAAACAAGGAGCCATGATTAGTTCTCTAACAATTGTTAATTAAGCCCACTGCTCAGTAGCCACACTGGACAAACCACTGAGGTCAGGAGAAAATACCTATTCTTCACAGGTAATACAGTTGGATATAATACCTTTCAATACAGTATACAATTCTTATTCTCCCTCTCCTAAGCTTTTGTCAGGGGAAGAAAAATCAAAACTTGATATGACAAAGTCTCATTTGATCATATGTCATCATCTCTTATGTCAGCAGCAGAACCATATTTTTAGAAGGCGGCCCCTCGCCCTTGTGAATGAAGGCTCGTGCTTGGAGGAGGGGGTTATATCCAGGAGGCAGGGGCCTTGGTCTTACACCGGTGGAGGCAAAGGACAAGGTGAGGTGGCTCACGTGAGCACCGGGCAGGTATTACACCCTAAGATAAGGTTACAGCCTCTGAGGTGTGATGCGGGGCAGAGGATGAATAAATAATCACCATGGTTCTCAGATGTGGGCTGGGGGAAGGGAAGAAGTTGATAAGGATGAGTCTTTGCTTAAATCAAATGTAAATAATTCAAAATGTAAAATACCAAATTTCCAAAATGTAAAATAACTGTTGACACTTGCAATACGGGCTGGGGCTGAGAGAGATGGGGAAGCGACACCTATGAAGGGCGTCTGAAGCGAACATTTCCAAGTAAGAAATGGGATAGAGCTTACCTTTTGGATGTCTTGTGCTGTTTCTGAAAAATAGAAGGTTTTTTTTTTCAAGTTGGAGAATGAAAATGTACCTCCTATATAAGTAAGCACTAATATTTTATAGAACTTAGAAACTTATTACTAGTAATTGAAACCCAACAGACTTCTGGGCCCTATACATCTAATTTTCAGAAAATCCCTGTCAGCTCTCCCAGCTGCATACCCCCACGCTACATCAAACAACTTTAGATGCATCTGAGCGCTAGGTGTCTTCATTAATCCCTGACAGCCATTAACTAACTAGTTCATGCTCAAGATGTTTCATAAGCTTCCGAACAAAAATGTGTTGTTTCCTGAAAAAAAAAAAAAAATGCACATGCCCCATTCCATGACAATTATATAAAGATGATGCTGCTTCTGTTGATTTTGCAACATTTTATTGGTTTTAACTGAAAGATGCAGCCTTCTTGCAACAAAGGGGTGTTGCCAGTGGAGTTGTGGGGAGAGATTTACATAGCCACATCTTACAGAAGACACCCTTAGAGCTAGCCTAATTATGGTATCTCCTCTTTAAAGATGATCACAGAAGCATATGAGGTCCTTCCCTCTCCGCAGATCTCATCCTCCGAGGAAACAACAGTTAACAGCTGAATGTTTATCTTTCCAGCTCTTGTACTACCCCCACCCCACCACAATAACGGTTTTGCTTTTATTTTTTATTTTTATTTTTTGAGATGAAGTCTCGCTCTGTCGTCCAGGCTGGAGTGCAGTGGCACAATCTCAGCTCACTGCAGCTTCTGCCTCCTGGGTTCAAGTGATTCTTGTGTCTCAGCCTCCCCAGTAGCTGGGATTACAGGCATAAGCCACCACACCTGGCTAATTTTTGTATTTTTCGTAGAGATGGGATCTCACCATGTTGGCCAGGTTGCTCTCCAACTCCTGACCTCAGGTGATCCACCCTCCTCGGCCTCCCAAAGTGTTGGGATTACAGGCGTGAGCTACCACACCCAGCCTGTTTCACTTTTAAAATAAGGATTCAATATGCAACTTTGTATATTCTGCTAAATATATGCGGACACTCTTGTGAATAGGTAGAGATCTGCTTTAGTTTTGACAGCTGTAGAATATTCCATTGTGTGTATGGATGTTCTACAATTTCCTTAAGTATATTTCCGACTGCATGGGCATTTTTATAGTATCCTATTACAAATACTGCAAACAACAAACTTGTAGATAAATCCGTCTACATGTGGGTAAGTACATCTGTGCAGGTGAAACTGTTGGGTTAAGGGCAAATGTACATTTTAAATTCAAACGACTATTACCAAATTTTGCCCCTGAAGCATTGCAAAAACTTACACTCCCACCAATACTTTTGGAGTGACTATTTTTCTATATGTTTTGGCCAAGCTCATAGTTTTTTCCCTTCTATTTATTCCATTTAAATGTATGGATTTTCTGATTATGAATGTGGACGGCCATTAAAAAATTTTATTGCCAGTTTGTGTGTTTTTGTGAAACAACTGCCCAATTCTATTTTTTTTTTTTTTTTTGAGTCCTTTGGGCTGGGTGCAGTGACTCACGCCTGTAATCTCAGAAGTTTGGGAGGCCAAGGCGAGTGGATCACCTGAGGTCGGGAGTTCGAGACCAGCCTGACGAACATGGAGAAATCACATCTCTACTAAAAATACAAAATTAGCCAGGCGTGGTGGTACATGCCTGTAATCCCAGCTACTCGGGAGGCTGAGGCAGGAGAATCACTTGAACCCAGGAGGTGGAAGTTGAGGTGAGCTGAGATCGCGCCATTGCACTCTAGAATGGGCAACAAGAGTGAAACTCTGTCTCAAAAAGAAAAAAAAAAAAAAAATAAAAGAGTCCTCTGTCTTTTCTTTTTGATGTATGGAGTTTCTTTATATAATAGGAATATTAATATTTTTATGCCTGTCAAATATATTACAAGTATTTTATGTCATTTGACTGTACATTTTATTTTAAATTTTATTATTATTTTTTGTGACGCAGTCTCACTCTGTTGCCCAGGCTGGAGTGCAATGGCGTGATCTCGGCTCACTGCAACCTCTGCTTCCCAGGTTCAAGCGATTCTCCTGCCTCAGCCTCCCAAGTAGCTGTGATTACAGGCACGAGCCAGTAGGCCTGGTTAATTTTTATATGTTTAGTAGAGACGGGGTTTCACCATGTTGGCCAGGCTAGTCTCGAAGTCCTGGCCTCAAGAGGGCTGCCTACCTTGGCCTCCCAAAGTGCTGGGATTACAGGTGTGAGCTACTGTGCCTGGCTTTGACTATATATTTTACAATGGGACACTTTTATTTATAGAAGTTAATCTTCTTGTAATCAAATCAAATCTGTCAGTCTGTAATTTATCTGGTATTTATTTTTGTGTGATTTGATTTAGTGAATATCAACAAGAATGAAACAAGAAAATATATTTTATGACTTACCACTAGTCTTCAAAACTTTATGTGATCGTGAGGAAGGTTCTGGGAGACAAAATAAAGCCAGCATCATTTGCAAAACCAAATCAAACCTTTGTCTTTATTCTTTATAAAAGGATTATGATTCTACTGACAGATTAACAGAGCTCTATAATTTTTGTATCAAATTTAACAAAATCCCCTTTGCTCAGAGATACATAGGAGCAAGACATTCACTCTGCTAAAATGGTAGAATAAATGTTATGCTGAGTTATCAGGAGTCACCCAATAGAAAAGCAAAATCTGACTTTGTCAATCCTGTCAGTAGCAGAGCAGCTTCCTCAGCTTTCACTAACACCTACAAGCTGATGACGTTCAATTGTACATTCTTATTTTTTTTTTTTTGAGACTGAGATTCACTCTTCTCTCCCAGGCTGGAATGCAATGGTGCGATCTCAGCTCCCTGCAACCTCTGCTTCCCGGGTTCAAGTAATTCTCCAGCCTCAGCCTCCCAAGTAGCTGGGATTATAGGCACGCGCCACCACACCTAGCTATTTTTTGTATTTTTAGTAGAGACAGGGTTTCACCATGTTGGCCAGGCTTGTCTTGAACTCCTGACCTCAAGTGATCTGCCCGCCTCGGCCTCCCAAAGTCTTAGGATTACAGGCGTGAGTCACCGCACCCGGCATCAATTGTATATTCTTATGCCAGACCCTGTCCCAAGTGTCAGCTTCAGCAAACTCAACATCTCCATCCCAGCTCCCCTGTCTCCCCTAGATCTGCTCCTTCATCTGCATATCCTCTCTTGGTTATCGCTGACATCGCCCTCCAGGGTTAGTGACCAGGCTGTTATTCTCCATTTCTCCTGTTTTCTTCCATCACAGTCTTGGGGGTTCCCTGTAATCCTTTCCCCGAGTCACCCCTCTCTTAATCCAAGCCTTCATCTCTCAACAAGATGAGCACCGCAGCTTCCTATCTGGTCTCCCTGCTCACTTCATTCTCTGCACACAGCCAGAGTTATTTCTTGACAAGGAAATCGTTCTCTGAGTTCACTGCTTAAAATCCTTCCACAGCTTGCAGGATCAAGTTCGAACCCTATGCATGACATACTGGGCCTCCAGAATCAGGCCCCCATCTGCATATCTCTAGCCACATCGCTTTCCATTTCACCTCACCCACCTCTTCCTCCAGCCGCCAGCACCATCCCACTCTCTCCCCAGGCTGAACGACTGGCAACAGATGTCTGTCCTAAAGTACGCTGGCTCAAGCCTCAGGGCCTCCGCATATGCTGTTCCTGTTCCATCTGCCTCCCCTGCTGCCAGATTCTGTCTTGGGTACTGGTTCTCTGCTCTGTGAAGCCTTCTCTCTCTTCCCTACAGGGTTAACCTCTCTCTTATTTCTCCTGTTTTTGTCTCTCTGCTCTTCCTTCCATCCAGCTAACCTCTGGCACTTCTCCATCACACGGACTAGTATTTATTTACTTATTATTTTTATTTTTTGAGACTGAGTCTCCCTCTATCACCTAGGCAGGGGCGTGATCTCGGCTCACTGCAACTTCTGCCTCCTGCGTTGAAGTGATTCTCCTGCTTCAGCCTCCCGAGTAGCTGGGATTACAGGTGCCTGCCAACACACCCTGCTAATTTTTGTAATTTTAGTAGAGATGGGGTTTCACCATGTTGGCCAGGCAGGTCTCAAACTCCTGACCTCAGGTGACCCTCCCGCCTCAGCCTCCCAAAATGCTGTGATTACAGGTGTGAGCCACTGCGCCCAGCCTTATTTGCATTTTTTGTCTCTGGCACCATGAGCTCCTTGAAGGAGTCACGTGGATTATTGATCCTTGCATTCCTAGTCCTTAGCAAAGCATAAAGAGGGTAATGAATAAAGACTGCTTCAAATAAAACCCTAAACCTGTCTGAACTAAGGCAATACTTCATGGAGTCTGGTGCAGCAAATATGAATTAAAATTTTAGCTTTGGATAACCTTTTGTGTGTGTAACTCATAGGATGTGATTTTTCATTAGCAACAGCAAATATGGTTTAAGTATCTGCATGCCGATGGTAAGATGTACAAAGCAAAATTAGTTGACCGGCATGCTTGATAGTTATGGGAAATATTAAGTAGAAAAGAGGCTTTTTTTTTTTTTTTTTTTTGAGACAGAGTCTCACTCTGTCACCCATGCTGGAGTACAGTGGCATGATCTTGGCTCACGGCAACTTCTGTCTCCCGGGTACAAGTGATTCTCCTACCTCAGCCTCCTGAGTAGCTAGGATTACAGGTGCCCGCCACCAGGCCTGGCTAATTTTAATATTTTTACTGGAGATGTGGTTTCTCCACGTTGGCCAGGCTGGTTTCGAACTCCTGACCTCAGGTGATCCACCTGCCTCGGCCTCCCAAAGTGCTGGGATTACAGAGAAAAAGAGTGTTAGATCAAAAGCTTGTCAGTCCCATCTTAAGGTAGCTGCAAATGTACTCAGACCAGCAGTGAGCTGAGAAACCAGATAGAACATGCCCTTTCGTCAGACTCAAAGGGACTTTCATGTCCAGTCCCCCATTAGTATTAAATTTTTATGACAAAATCCTATTTACCAGATTTTCTTCTCAGCCGATACGGAGCAGAACCTTCTTTAGAGCCATACAGTGCTTTCGTCTCTCCCTCAGGACTGTAACAGAAGCCTGGATGATCTGTAAAGATAACCACATGTATCAGTGGGACTGCGCTGTCGGGGGCTTCTCAGAAAATGGTTATGGCTAGCGTAGATTTATATGGATTTATTATTATTATTATTTTGAGATGGAGTTTTGCTCTGTCGCCCATGCTGAAGTACGGTGGCATGATCTTGGCTCACTGCTGACCTCTACCTCCCAAGTTCAAGTGATTCTCCTGCCTCAGCCTCCTGAGAAGCTGAGACTACAGGTGACTGCCACCATGCCTGACTAAGTTTTGTATTTTTAGTAGAGACAGGGTTTCACCATGTTGGCCAGGCTGGTCTTGAACTCCTGACCTCAGGTTATCCACCCGCCTCGGCCTCCCAAAGTGCTGGGATTACAGGTGTGAGCCATCATGCCTGGCCTATATGGATTTATTCTTTTTCATCTGACATGGATATGATCCTCCTCCCACAATTGGTGCTGTATATGTATCTCAGGGCTTTTTGTTTACATTGGGACTTGTAGGAGTCTGTTAGCTGGGATGATGACAAGCTTGAGCCACCACACCCGGCCAAAAAAAATAATAATAAAAAATAAATAAATAAATAAAATCTGAAGGCAATTTCTGCTGGCTGAAATGTTGAGGTCTACAGAATACAGCCCAGCACTCCGCTGGGGAGCTCCAGGCATCGTTTCTCAGGTCTGTTGGATGGGAGATGGGAGCCTCAGCTGCAGCGATGGTGGGAACGTGCCTGTTTCCACTTTGCTGATGCTGCTTTTCCCCCTGGGGAGTTAACAAGTGCCAGGCTGGACGAAAGGGAATCAACATTTGTACTTGATTCCGCAAAGTAAGGTATTATGAAAGGGTTAAGTAAAAGTAGAAGTGTTTTCAGTGCAAGTGTCCAGCAGACCTGACTGCATTTAAAGCCATTGTTTTCTCTTTTTATTCTATTTAATCTGAAAAATAACAAAGATGTGATAAATGCTGTTGAATAAGGTCTTATTTAATAGGACGGACCTGGAATATTTCTTCTCTTCTGCTTTTGTAAGCCTAGAAATACACTCACATATGTGGGGTGGTTGTGATTTTAGAATTTTCTGCTGCATCAGGAAAACCAATACTATGAAGCGATTGAGATTCTTGCAGATAATCAATATTCTGTTAGGGATGAAGTGAGAAATGCATTGTGAAGTCCTGGTTTTTGGTGGTGGTAGAGGTTGGGGGTGGGTGGGGGTAGAGTTGACCCTGGAGACATAACTGACATTGTTAGTTGATGCAGAAACCCAGACTGTGGCCAGCCATCAAGGGACTCAGATAAACCTGGGAGAACCAATGTAGAAACAAGCCAATGAGCTAAGAAGGGATTATACTGTCCACCCAATTTGTGAAAACAGTGAATAGAAAGATACTATTTTCTAACAATTGACATTTTCTTGAACTTTAAGATAGAAAATGTGATAGATACAAATAGACAATGAAATTTCAAATTGTGTTAAGGAAATAAAACTTACGAATGGCATCCATTTCAAGGATTGCTTGCTTGGCCTGAAAGAGAGAAAGTGGGGCTGTCATTCCAATTGCTTTGTTTTTCTTTAAACTCCAAATGTCATCACAGATCTTATCCCACCTGAATAAATAGAGTTTTAAAAACGTTTAAAAACGCGCTATTTATTTTAAGCATTTACACACAATTCAGGGAATTCAAGCAGATGAGCGCCCTCATGTGGGTAATAGCTGCTACACCATCAAGGCACCAGAGCTAAGACTGCACCACCAACCCTGTGAAAGAGGACGGAGGGAGGCTGGTTCCTAAACCCGGCTGATCATTAGCACTCATTGGCCAACTTATTAAAAATGCAGATTCTTGGCTGGGCGCAGTAGCTCGCACCTGTAATCCCAGCACTTTGGGAGGCCAAGGCGGGCAGATCACAATCACAAGGTCAGGAGTTCAAGACCAGCCAGGCCAATATGGTGAAATTCCGTCTCTACTAAAAATACAAATATTAGCCAGGCAAGGTGGCGGGCGCCTGTAGTCCCAGCTAATTGGGAGGTGGAGGCAGCAGAATTACTTGAACCCAGGAAGCGGAGGTTGCAGTGAGCTGAGATTATGCCACTGCACTCTAGCTTGGGTGACAGAGCAAGACTCCGTAGCAAAAAAAAAAAAAAAAATGCAGATGCTTGTCACCCAACCCTGACCTACTGACCCAAAAACTCAAGGCATGGAGCCTGGTGTCTTTATCACCAGCCCTCACCACGACTCTAGGGCCGTGTAACTATTTTGAGTTAATTGCAAAATGGCTGCTGGAAGTTTCCTCTCATTGTTGTCTTTCCTCCTGCTACGTGATTATTATGAGTTAAGTCTCTCTGTTTCCCCAACTCCCTGTACCTCCCATCTCTTTTATGTGCCCCAGAATCTCCCAGAGTGGGACGGCCCTGAAGGACAATGTCTGTGATCCCTGAAGTGATCAGGCACTTCACTAGGTGGGTGCTCTCCCATCCCAGAATGTGCTTCCTCAACTGGACAGTGGGATCATGGAGCCTTTCCTTCAGAACAGTCATTAGGTATCAATGGTCAGCTTAACTGGTGAGTTCCACCCACCCACCCTCATAGGCAGTGGTCCCCAACCCCCGAGCCATAGACTGGTACTAGTTCATGGCCTGTTAAGAACTGGGCCGTACAGCAGGAGGTGAGTGGTGGGCAAGTGAGAGAAGCTGCATCTGGATTTACAGCGGCTCCTCAAGGCTGGCATTACAGCCTGAGCTCCGCCTCCTATCAGATCAGTGGCGGCATCAGATACTCATAGGAGTGTGAACCCTACTGTGAATTATGCATGCGAGGGATCTAGGTTGCAGCACTCCTTATAAGAATCTAATGCCTGATGATCTGAGGTGGAGCTGAGGCAGTGATGCTAGCACTGGGGAGCAGATTAACGTTAGCAGAGAGGTTTGACTGCACAGAGATCATAATAAATCAATTGCTTGCAGATTCATATCAAAACCCTGTCAGTGAGTGACAAGGAGCAATTAAGCTGCATCTGGTGGCAGGCTTTATCGTGGCAAGTGAGTTGATGTACTTCAATTGTATGGCTGCATCTGGTGGCCTTAAAAGTATGTTCGAGGCCGGGCGTGGTATCTCATGCCTGTGATCTCAGCACTTTGGGAGGATGAGGCAGGCAGATCATGAGGTTAGGATTTCAAGACCAGCCTGATCAACATGGTGAAACCCCATCTCTACTAAAAATACAAAAATTAGCTGGCATGGTGGTGCGCGCCTGTAACCCCAGCTACTGAGGAGGCTGAGGCAGGAGAACTGCTTGAACCTGAGGGGCAGAGGTTGCAGCACTGGTTGAGTTGAGGTTGAGACTCCATCTCAAAAAAAAAAAAAAGGAAAAAAGTATGTTTGAGACAACTTCAAATGTCCATACATTCTGGATTAAAGTCCAGGCGAATATCCTGAGATTGCCACAAAAGCACAAAAGCCTGCTTCCATTTCCAACATCCTATCTTTGTAAAGCAGGGTTTTCTGCAGTGACAGCCACCAAAATAAGATTAGAACAGACTGTACATAAGCAACACACTTGGGGTGTCGCTGTCCCCCATCACCCCCTGATGGGACCGTCTAGTTGCAGGAGAACAAGCTCAGGACTCCCACGGGATTCTACATTATGGTGAGCTGTATAACTATTTCATTATATATTACCATGTAGTAATAGAAATAAAGTGTGCAATAAACATAATGTGCTTTCATCATCCCAAAAGCCCTCCCCTGCCTCTGTCTGTGGAAAAATTGCCTTCCACAAAACCAATCCCTGGTGCCCAAAAGGTTGAAGACCACTGTCCTAGGGGATTGTAGCCTTTCTTGCCTCTTTAAAGTCATTTTCATTTTTTAAGGGTAGTATAATTTTAACCTAGAAAACACTATGCTAAAAATAACTTTTAAAATAATTTTACTCTATTTTGCTACCATCTGTGATATCACAGTACAAATATTTCGGCTAAGTGGTGATCATATTTAGTGAAAAAGCGTGGGGCTGAGTCACCTTAGAGGAAACAAATGCTTCAGTTTTTGTAACACTGATAGCTATCTCTCTTGTACATTCAGCGTCTGAGATTATGAGTTGAAATTAATTACAAACACAAATGTTAGCTTAGTCTCTGGGAAGTGCAATTACAGAACTATACTAATATATGAAATGAAAAATATCTTCATCTTCATTCTCAATTAATTTGGAGAAGAGTTTAATTTATTTACCACATACACTAATGGGCAATATGGCTATTTCCAAGAAGTTCCCTGGTAAACAATATCTGTAGAGCTGACTTCAAGAATGTATTTTTTAAGTCTTGACATTTAATTTTTAAAGTACTGTTTCCAGGTTTTCCACTAGGTGACAGCCAAGGACCATCATTGAATTAAAAGAACGGACAGCAGCTGGGAGGCTGTAACTAATGAGTTTCCCACAGCTGTGTTGATATTATTAGACTGGTGATACATTTCTTGATTTTAAAAATTTCCCACTATGCATTTATTTCATAGAAATAATAGAAATACATTTTGAAAACTTTAGGAAAATAAATAATCTCAAGGAAAGATGTGGAAAGTTCACTTTAATAATAATCCTGCTTAAATAGAAAATTATGATTACATTATAGTGAATGAAGTATATTAAACGCACGCGTTTGAGGCTGGGTATGGTGGCTTCTGCCTGTAATCCCAGCACTTTGGGAGGCTGAGGCAGGTGGATCACTTGAGGCCAGGAGTTCGAGACCAGCCTGGTCAACATGCTGAAACCTCATCTCTATAAAAATACAAAAATTAGCCAAGTGTGGTGGTGCACACCTGTAGTCCCAGCTACTCAGGTGGCTGAGGCACAAGAATACTTGGACCCAGAAGGCGGAGGTTGCAGTGTGCTTTTTCTTGTATGGAGACTGCGCCACCGCACTCCAGCCTGGGTGACAGAGTGAGACCCTGTCTCAAAACAAAACAAAACAGAAAAACGTGTTTTTATTGCCAGTGGGAGCAATGTGGTTAGGATGCTCTTCGGAGCCAGATAGACCCAGGTTTGAATCCAGGCTTGGTCATGTACTAGTTATACAAACTTGGGCAGTTTATTTAATGTCTCTCTGCCTCTGTTTTTATTTTTTCTAGAATGGGAAGAATAAGAACTACCTCATAACATATTTTGGTGAGGCTGAAATAAGAATATAAGTACTCAGCACAGTGTGTATGCTCAATAAGTTGTAACTGAAAAGATGTTTTTAGATAGAAGGGATTGACAACCTGGGGAGAAAGTATGATGTTACACTGACTATATCAATCATTTCAGTACTTAAAGGGAACTTCCTGGGACACACACACCTAGTGTGGAGAAAGACAGGTATGTAAGGTGGTCTCGTTTTGTAACTGCCTTTCAGAATCTTGTTAGCGATTTTGATTTTCCCACTAGACAGGTAAACAATAGGTGGGGCCCATCAAAGACGCTCTGCCATTGCTCAGAAGGGCGTTCTAAGGCAGCAGGCCAGCAACAAAATGACTAATCATAAAGAAAATGCAGCCCCTCTCTGCATGAGCTCCCTTTCATCTCATAACACCCTGATGAAACGAAAACTCATGCTTAGGTCCCAGTCCACACCTATGCACATTCATTTCCTGAGGACCAAATCATTGCTGGCAGTCCTGAGAACAAGCTTCAGATGCTTGTCAAAATACACAGAGAACAAAACAGACTGTCCCCTTTCTCAGAAATCTCAGCCCTTCTCATTTTCCACCCAGTTCAGTTTTCATAATCATCATCCCATTGTCTGCTCCACCTCACTCCTCCCAGCCTCAGCTTGGACCATTTCACCATCCATGTGAATAATCCACCCACCACCCTCCCCCTAGTTCCTTGACCACTTTATCTCTAATGACCTTTTCCTCCACTCCAGAGCAGCAACACAGAATCAGAGCCACCTCCAGAACCTGATCACACTCAAAACCGCCCTACCTCTAAGGCAGGACTCCAAAAGTCCCTTCTTCAACCACAGATTGGTGTATTTCCTTCTCTCCAACATTAAGTCCTACTGAACCAGGCTTTATGACAATACTGCAGTCCCTCACCCCACGCTTCTGTTGCCAGCTGGTTTTCCTCTCCACTCAGCCTGATGTCATGCCCAATTACTGCAACTTCGTGCTCACTGGCACCCTCCCCACCCCCGCCCTGGGAACCTTCCCCTACCAGCTCTGCCGGTTCCCAACCTGGAGGAACCCACACGCACCAGTAGTTTCCAAGTTGCTGAGCAGATTTTTGAAATGACGTCATCACACTGATTCATGGGGGCCAGCTTCAGTTGGGTCTTTGATGCCTTCCACAGATCATTCTAGTCATCTCTAGTGACTGGTCCATTTTCTTTCTTTCTTTTTTTCTTGAGACGGAGTCTCACTCTGTCACCGAGGCTGGAGTGCAGCGGCGCGATCTTGGCTCACTGCAAGCTCCGCCTCCTGGGTTCACGCCATTCTCCTGCCTCAGCCTCCTGAGTAGCTGGGACTACAGGCGCCCGCCATGACGCCCGGCTAATGTTTTGTATTTTTAGTAGAGACGGGGTTTCACCGTGTTGGCCAGGATGGTCTTGATCTCCTGACCTCGTGATCCGTCCGCCTCAGCCTCCCAAAGTGCTGGGATTACGGGTGTCAGCCACCGCGCCTGGCCTGGTCCATTTTCTTTAGCAAGTGTTCTTCTGATCCCTTCCACTTTCCCTCAGACACCCCCGATCTCTGCTTCATTCACCCAGCAGATGACTTTATCACCTGCATGAGTGAAATCAAACGCTTTGTCTTCCCCCAAGTCTACCTCAAAGCTCCTCTGTCTTTCATCTTTTTCTCCCTTGGCTCAAGAGAGATGCTTCCGGCCCTTTCCAAGATAAGCCCCTATTCCTGTGTGTCCCATCCTCTCCCTTCCCACCTCCCCAGGCTCCCTTCCAACAGGAAGTGAGCCACTGTCTCCTCTCCCATCTCCCTTCTCCTGCCGTGCCATCCGCTCTTGGACTCAGCATTCGACCCAGGCAAGGAGTCTTGCTTTGCTCTTGCCTCTCTCTCCAAACTATCATTTTTTTTTTTTTTTCCTTTTGTGAACTTTATATACAAAAAAGTCTACACGCATTCTGTTCCTTCTTAATCCCCCTTTTTCTTCAACCCACTGTGACCTTTCCCTTTTCTCTTAGTTGCCAAATCTAAAATTTGCTTTTCTGTTTAAATCTCCTTGACCTCAGCAGCCTTTGAGACTGTGTCTCCCCGCCGTCTCTGAGACGTGCTTTTTCCTGTTAGCGCAGCGCCTCCTCCTCAGGCGTCCTCCCTGCCTCCTCTGCTACTCTTTCCATCCTTCTTTGGCTGTTCTCCAAATCCCCCCACCTGCTTGCGGATAACTTAGATGTTAGGATTCCCAAGGGTTTGTCTTTCCTTTGCATATTTTTTTGGGCCATCTTTTTAAACCTTTTTAAACCTAGGGCTTCAATTACTGCCTCTAGCAAATGTCTCCTGATCCTTAGATTCCAAGACCTGAATTTCCACCTGTGGCTGACCTTGCCCAGCAGCACGGGTGCCAGTGACAGCAGAGGGCTCCTCTCTCTCACTCCCATCTCACGGGTTCCTCTCCCTTTCTGTCTGTCTCAGAACCCACAGTACCATGCTCTCCTTCAACCCGACTCAGCCTTGACTCTCAGTGGGCAAAATCCTGCCCTCTGCCTCAGTGGCACGTTCTGCATTTGTCCCCTCTGTCGCTGTGGCTCCACGGCAGCACTGCTCAGCTCCTTTCTAGGCCATGGTGGTGGGTTACCATCTTCTCCAGCCTCCAACCTCACTCCTGCCACTTATTTGTCACCCTGTCCCCAAAGTTACACTCTCAGAAAACAGGACCGACCATGCCATCTCCCCTTCCTCCAAAGTCTGCAGTAATTTCCCAGTGTGAATGTGTCCAGACTCCTCAGAGTGCATGCCCACAGCCCTCCAGGGGCTCCTGCCCTTCCCCTCCCTGCCCCAGCCCCTGCCTCAGCCCCTGAGAACTCAGTCCTCCCATCCCGGCACCATCTGTGCACCCTGAACACAGTGCATTCGTTCTTTTTTTTTTAATGCAGGTCTCTAGGTCTGGTTTCCTTAATTCCTTTTTTTCCCACTTATAAAAATATTACTAAGACTGGGAACGGTGGCTCATGCCTGTCATCCCAACACTTTGGAAAGGCTGAGACAGGCAGATCACTTGAACCCAGAAGTTTGAAACCAGCCTAGGCAAGATGATGAGCCCACACCTTTCTTTACCAAAAATACAAAAATTAGCTTGGCGTGGTGGCACACGCCTGTGGTCCCAGCTACTCTGGGAGGCTGAGGTGGTGGCATCTCTTGAGCCCAGGAGGTCAAGGCGGCAGTGAGCCATGTTTGCACCACTGCGCTCCAGCCTGGGCGACAGAGTAAGATCCTATCTTAAAAAAAAAAAAAAAAAAAAAAAAAAAATCTCATCCTTTAAACCGAGGTAAAAGATGTTTTCCTTCCTCTCTCCACTTAACTGAATTGAACACTCTATTCTTCCACAGCATCTGTTACGTCTTCATGGTTGGCAGATGGTTCGTGGCATCCTCTTCTAAGCCCCAAAAGGAAAAATACCACCACTCCACAGAGCCCGCGACTCATGTGAATCTTTTTTTTTTTTTTTTCCTTGAGATGGGATCTTGCTATGTCACTCAGGCTGGAGTGCAATGGCAAGATCTCGGCTCATTGCAACCTCCGCCTCCTAGGTTCAAGTGATTCTCTTGCCTCAGCCTCTTGAGTAGCTGGGACTACAGGCATGTGCTACCACACCCAGCTAGTTTTCGTATTTTTAGTAGAGATGGGGATTCACCATGTTGGCCAGGCTGGTCTTGAACTCCTGACTTCTGGTGATCTGCCCTCCTTAGCCTCCCAAAGTGCTAGGATTACAGGCGTGAGCCACCGCGCCTGGCCCCATGTGAATCTTTTTGATGTTAATGGCTGGTTTAGCTGAGACATAGTTCCTACATTTCCTATCTCTCAATTTTCTTTCTTTCTTTTTTGTTTTTGAGACAGAGTCTTGCTGTGTCACCCAGGCTGGAGTACAGTGATGCAATCTCAACTCACTGCAACCTCCACCTCCTGGACCCAGGTGATCCTCCCACCTCAGCCTCCCAGAGTAGCTGGGACTACAGGTGCGTGCCATCATGCTGGGGGTGAACTTTTATATTTTATGTAGAGACGGGTGTCTCACTTTGTTGCCCAGGCTGGTCTCGAACTCCTAGGCTAAAGTGTTCCACCTGCCTTAGCCTCCCAAAGTGCTGGGATTACAGGCATAAGCCACCATGCCAACCTTTTTATTTTGAAATTGAACATTTATCCTATCAGGATGCCTTGCTGGGACTTCATTAGTAATTAGATGATCTGATTAATGGTTGTCACTCCCAGAATCTAATTCTAAACTTTTTTTTTTTTTTGACCCAGTCTCTTTGTATTTTTTTGAGACAGTCTCATTCTGTCACCCAGTCTAGAGTGCAATGACGCGATCTCGGCTCACAGTAACCTCTGCCACCCAGGTTCAAATGATTCTCCTATCTCTCTCCTGTTTCACTGTGCATTATTCAGTGTCCTACCTTAGCTGGAATCTTGGCTGCATGATTCTCCAGAATCAGTCTCTTTAGGTGCAGAACCCAGAGGCGTTTGTCTTGCTGGGATTTGGCCTGCCAAGACGAGATGTAGACAGTCAGACAACTTGATACCACCACCCACAGGACCTTCTGATGAGATGGGAAATGACCATGTGGCCAGAACGCTCTCAAAAAGCTGCCTGGTACACAGCACTCATCATTACACAAAGGGGCCTTGCGGAGAGGCCAGGGCCTGGCCACTACCTGGACTGTGTGCTGCAGCTTGGGATTCTTGTAGTGGAAGACGCTGAAGCTGAGCGGCTCCTTCGGAATCACCTCCACGAGCATGAGGTTGCCACACTAGAGCAGAGACAGCAGATAGGGTGAGGCACACTCAGGAGGGAATGGAACTGGGGATCTGAGTCCCTGCCCATGGCCAGCGTGCAGACCTACCAGGATGTGAGCTTTGTATGTAAACGTGTCGTCTCTCTTCTTCGTGATGAGCAGCAGCTTGTCGAAGAGGAAGAGTGTCCGCTCATTCTTGGCTCGCTGGATGCGGAAGGTTCCCTCAAGCACCAGTTCCCCATAGCTGGTCAGGTCTGGCCCCTTCCAGTTAGTGAGCAAACTCTGTATCTCCTGAGAAAGGGAATGGGCCATGGCATTTAACAGGAGGCAGAAGCCAGGCACCAAGGGCTTGATGGCCCAGCTGTTGAGCCTCAAGAATGGTAACAAATCGTCCCCGACGGGGTCTAACGATCTACGTGGTATCTGATGGTCTATTACATGGATCTGCATTTACAGGTGGTGTCACTTAAGGGCTAACAGAAATGAATCAGGCTGTTAGTTGATGAGCTGCTACTTACTTATTTCCATTCCTTCATCATGCCATGCTGTGGCTCACAGCAGCCCTTACATCTTTCAAAAGCCAGGTCCAGGGCCACCAGTATGGGACCCTCTCAGATAGGCCTCCTTCACTTGATTTTCTTTGTTTTGTTTTGTTTCCTTGAGACCAAGTCTCACTCTGTCACCCAGGCTGGAAGGAAGTGGCGCAATCAGGGCTCACTGCAACCTCCACCTCGCCGGTTCAAGCGATTCTCCTGCCTCAGCCTCCTAAGTAGCTGGGATTACAGGTGCCCATCACCATGCCTGGCTAAATTTTTTAATATTTTTAGTAGAGATGGGGTTTTGCCATGTTGGCCAGGCTGGTCTTCAACTCCTGACCTCAAGTGATCTGCCCACCTGGACCTCTGAAAGTGCTAGGATTACAGACGTGAGCCACTGCACCCAACCCCTTCCCTTGATTTTTCTCATCCCCTCTTCTCTGGGGGAAAAAACCCTTCAGAGTTGTTGACTTGAAGACTTTCTTCGAGATACCAAAGTTCATACCACACATAAGTAATTCAAAACTAAAGCCTATATAAATCATCCACATCATTTTCTCAGAAATTTCTTGAGTTTAAATTTACCTACTCAGGGAAAGGAAAGGAACCTTTCTTTGCCCCTAACTTATGTTTCAGTACTTTTTTGGTTAAAATTTTAAAATTTTATGGGTTCACGGTAGGTGTATATATTTATGGGGTACACGAGATATTTTAACAGGCATACAATGCATAATAAACACATCAGGGTAAATGGGCCTCTGTCACCTCCAGCATTTATCATTTCTTTGTGTTATGAACATTCCAATTACACTTTCAGTTATTTTATAAGTTATTGTTGACTATAATACCCCTGTTGAACTATCAAATACTAGATCTTATTCAACATTTTTTTTTTTTTGAGACAGAGTCTCGCTCTGTTGTCTAGGCTGGAGTGCAGTGGCGCAATCTTGGCTCACTGCAACCTCTGCCTCTTGGGTTCAAGTGATTCTCCTGCCTCAGCCTCTCAAGTAGCTGGGATTACAGGCACCCACTACCATGCCTGGCTAATTTTTGTATTTTTAGAAGATATGGGGTTTCACTATGTTGGCCAGGCTGGTCTCAAACTCCCAGCCTTGGGTGATCTGCCTGCCTCGGCCTCCTAAACTGCTGGGATTACAGGTGTCAGCCACCGCATCTGGCCTAGATCTTATTGTCTCTAAGTAAAGTTTTGTATTCATTAACCACCCCCACTTGCCCCACTCCCTGTTTTAGTGCTTTTAATGGAAATTGATAAATATAAACTAATAACATGACTTTGACTTTTCTGTGGAATTTATTGTATATCAATATCAGTGTTTTTAAAGGAAGTTGATTTTATTATTTTGAAAAATGAAAATAGTCACAAGCACCATTTAATTAAGGAACTCACAAGACAACAAAAACTTTACTGGTTGAAAACAGAAATGAACAGAAATGGAGTATTAGTTTGAGCCAGAGTCTGATTCAGTAATGACTTCAGAATGTCAAGCAGCTACACAGAGTATGAAAAACCAGCCATTTAGACATTTCTGAATACTGTAGTCCCCCTTATCTGCAGGGGATATGTTCCAAGACCCCCAGTGGATTCTCAGAATTGGGGATAGTATCGACCCCTAAATATACTATGTTTTCCCTACAAATACATACCTATGATAAAGTTTAATTTATAAATTAGGCATAAGATATTAACAACAATAACTGATAATAAATTAGAATAATTATAACAATATGTCAGCATCACTGCTCCGTTTGGGGGCATTATGAAGCAGAATAAGGTTGACTTGAACACAAGCATTGCAACACAAGACAGTCGATCTGATAACCAAGCCAGCTACTGAGTGACTTAACAGGTGAGTGGCCGTAGGCAGTGTGATTGGACAAAGGGGTGATTCATGTCCTAGGTGGGAGGGAGAAGGGCAGTGTGAGATTCCATCACGCTACTCAGAATGGTACACAATTTAAAATTTACAGATTGTTTATTTCCAGAATTTTCCATGTAAAAATTTTTTTTTTTTTTTTTTTTTTGAGATGGAGTCTTGCCCTGTTTCCCAGGCTAGAGTGCAGTGATGTGATCTCAGCTCACTGCAACCCTGTGTCCTGGGTTCCAGCGATTCTCCCACCTCAGCCTCCCAAGTAGCTGGGGTTACAGGTGTGTGCCACCATGCTCGGCTAATTTTTTGTAGTTTTCTTTTTTCTTTTTTTTTTTGAGACAGAGTCTTGCTCTGTCACTCAGGCTGCAGTGCAATGGCACGATCTCAGCTCACTGCAACCTCCACTTCCTGGGTTCAAGCAATTCTCCGGCCTCAGCCTCCCAAGTAGCTGGGATTATAGGCATGTGCCACCACGCCCAGCTAATCTTTTATATTTTTAATAGAGACAGGGTTTCACCATGTTGCCCGGCTGGACTTGAACTCCTGACATCAAGAAATCCACCTGCCTCAGCCTCCCAAAGTGCAGGGCTTACAGGTGTGAGCCATCACTCCTGGCCCATTTAAAATGTTCTAACCTTGGCTGACCACAGGCAAATGAAACTGCCGAAAGTGAAAGTGCGGATCAGGGGGATGACTGTATTCAATGGATTCTGATATTATGTCTGCAAAACATTTGTATGATAAAGCATTAAACTTTTGTTGCCGTTGCAAAAAAAAAAAAAAAAAAAAAAAAAAAAAAGCAGCCTGGAAGATTAGAATGTCATCTTCCTCTGAGTTTTGATAGTCAATGACATCACACCACACTCTGGCTGCCTATACCTGAAGCCTACAGAGTTTGTTCTGACTTATGAGCCAAATAAGGTATCCTTTTTCTCGAGTTAGGCAAGGCCACTCTGTATAGCGTGGAGTCACTTTGGGCTTTTCTCTCTCACTCTAGGGACAGCCAGGAGCCTGGAACTGGCCTCTGGGCCCACGCAGCCCCTTGTGTCGTTTTTCATAGTGCATCTATTGAAGTCCCCAGGGCATGATCACTGGCCCAACATCTGTCAAAAGTTCCTTAAGATTTAGGGCTTAAAATGTTTGTGCTGGATAGGCCTTTAGCAAACTTCTCTGTCTTACTTTAAAAATGAGGAAACTGTAGGGCTTGGTGGCTCATGCCTGTAATCCCAGCACTTTGGGAGGCTGAGGCAGGTGGATCATCAGAGGTTAGGAGTTCAAGATAAGCCTGGTCAACCTGGTGAAACCCCATCTTTACTAAAAACAGAAAATTAGCCGGGCATGGTGGTATGCCCCTGTAATCCTAATCCCAACTACTAAGGAGGCTGAAGCAGGAGGATCACTTGAACCTGGGAGCCGAAGGTTGCACTGAGCTGAGATTGTGCCACTGCATTCCAGCCTGGGCAACAGGAGTGAAACTTCGTCTCCAAAAACAAAAAAAAAGGAAACTAAAATGACATGCTGGAGGGTCACATCCCAAGTGACTGACTGTAAAGGAGCTGGTTCAGCCTTGGCTCCCCCTCCACTGCGTCCCCTGCCTATGACCACCCACGCACCACCTCATGATTTTGCAGGAACTGGAGGCAGAGGAATAAAGGCTTAACAAGCGTTTATATAGTTTAGGGAAAGTTGCTTTAAACAAGAATTACTAAATTTGCAATTAATAGAAGTAGGAGACTCAAAATTTTAACTTAGATCATCAAAGGGGCTATAAGCAAACAATTAGCTTAAAAGTTATAATTTTGGCTGGGTGTGGTGGCTCACACCTGTAATCCCAGCACTTTGGGAGGCTGAGGTGGGCACATCAACTGAGGCTGGGAGTTTGAGACCAGCCTGACCAACATGAAGAAACCCCGTCTCTACTAAAAATACAAAATTGGTGGCTCACGCCTGTAATCCCAGCACTTTGGGAGGCTGAGGTGGGTGGATCACCTGAGGTCAGGAGTTCGAGACCAGCCTGACCAACATGGAGAAACCTCGTCTCTACTAAAAATACAAAATAAGCCAGGCATGCCTGTAATCTCAGCTACTCAGGAGGCTGGGGCAGAGTAATTGCTTGAACGCTGGAGGCAGAGGTTGTGGTGAGCTGAGATTGTGCCACTGCACTCTAGTCTGGGCAACAAGAGCGAAACTCCATCTCAGAAAAAAAAAAAAAAAAAAAGGAAAGTTATAATGTCACTTTCTCTTAAATAGCCATACTAGACAATGGTCAGTATTACTGATGTCCTGAACTTTTTTCAGGGAGAACTACACTGAAGACCGTGAGTGTAGTGCAGTACTTGCGCAGTCTTAATATTTTATTGGGAAAACAGTCAGTCAGTACACCTGCAACCCTGCTGGGCACCGACACCTTGCAGGCTCACCTGTAACCGGACCGCGTGCTCATGTTTCCGCTTCATGTCATTGATGTGCCAGGCGACTCGCTGCATTGTGTCTATAGCATCAAGCACCACATCATAGCCTTCTGTGTCCTTATCAAGGTGATTTTCTATTTCCTTAAACAAAAAAGAACAATTTTTTCCCATTTTTTTTCATACAGCCAGTGAAACAAATGCCACCTCTATGATTAGTTCCTTATATTTTATTTTTACTTATTTATTTACACACTACCAGCTGGGTGTGGTGGCTCACGCCTATAATCCCAGCACTTCGGGAGGCCAAGATGGGTGGATCACCTGAGGTCGGGAGTTCGAGACCAGCCTGGCCAATATGGTGAAACCCTGTCTCTCCTAAAAATACAAAAATAAGCTGGGCATGGTGGCGCAAGCCTGTAGTTCCAGCTATTTGGGAGGCTGAAGCAGAAGAATCACTTGAACCTGGGAGACAGAGGTTGCAGTGAGCCAAGATTGGGCCACTGCACTCCAGCCTGGGTGACAGAGTGAGACTCTGCCTTAAAATAAATAATTAATTAATTAATTGACAAAATATTTACAGACTACCATCATTCTTTAAGATTTTGAGGCTGGAAATACCTGCAACAAAATGGTAAGACAAGGAGAAAAAAAGAAAAGGGATAGGAAAGATAAAAGTGGAATAGAATTCCAGGATAAACAGGATAAAATACAACATGCATGTAGCCCATTGAGTATCACAGTGATATTACAGTTATTATAACAGATGTGGGAATTGATCTTATAGCTGTAGAGTTCTGAGCTTCCTGGTGGCCAATATTAAACAGTTCTCAGTAATATAGTTCTCACTCTTACAAGATAAAACACATACTTATTTTTTCCCTTATTTATTTATATAGGAAGCAAAATGTTTCATACAGGACCTTAACATTTAACAGACTCAAAAATATAGCGAAAACTATCCTTACAAAACGATCTCTATAGCGAGTAGGCATTTTAGCACATTTTCCTATAGATAAGGTTTTAAAGGCCAAATGAAGTGGACTAAAGACAATCCTTCAGAGTGTTGAGAAGGATCTCATGGTTTCAGCACTCAATTCTCTGATGGTCAGAAGTATGTTACATTAGCAATCATCTTACCACTGGAGGCCCACAATCCCAGGAACATGAGAGAGGGACAGGATCTTTGTTCTAATTCTTTTGAGCACATAAGACACTTGTCCCTTGATCCTCAACAGTCTAAAGATAGAGACTATTGTATAGAGTTCCTTTGATTCTTTATCTCTCCTCAGTGCCCAGCAGAGAGCTGGGTGGTAAATAAGTGCTTATTAAACTGAAACTATTGCCTTCTTAAAAACAACAATAACAGTAATCCTATATTAGTGCCTAAAACAGTAAGAAAACACTAATCAATTACATCGTTCTTGTTACATTTATCATACATAATCAGCTAACAGGTAGAGGTTAAATGTTATAGTACAACTTGAAGATTAGTCCCATTATTTTATAGTAACGACGTAGATCTTTGTTTACTTTTACTGAATACTCAACTTTTTCATCTAGCTAGAAACTGTATAAGAATTTACATTTTCTTTCCATGCTTGGACTCAGCTGTTAACAAGGTCCTAAATGGCAAATTTAAAAATATAATGATTTCTTCTTTTAGCCTGAGAGGCAATTGTGCTCATCAGTAAACAGACTGGGAGGTACAGAGGATATTTCTGTGGGGATTTTCATGGATGGCTACATAACTTTGAAATGACGTGAATGGGCCGGGCGCGGTGGCTCACTCCTGTAATTCCAGCACTTTGAGAGGCCGAGGCAGGCAGATCATGAGGTCAAGAGATCGAGACCATCCTGGCCAATATGGTGAAACCCCATCTCTACTAAAAATACAAAAAATTAGCTGGGCATGGTGGTGCGCACCTGTAGTCCCAGCTATTCGGGAAGCTGAGGCAGGAGAATCGCTCGAACCTGGGAGGCAGAGGTTGCAGTGAGCTGAGATTGTGCCACTGCACTCTAATCTGGCAAAAGAGAGAAACTCCATCTCAAAAAAAAAAAAAAAAAGAAAAAGAAAGAAATGATGTGAATGACATAGAGGGAGCCCTCTAATCATCTATGAAAACAGAAAACACTTCAAAAGCAACCAGAAGTCAGTTTTGGATTAATCTAACCACTTTTTTTTTCTTCATTGCCAGCCCTTAATATGCAGGATAAAGGCTGTTTTTCCTATTAATTAACTTTTTGTAAGGATCTTGACTCGTCGTCTCACATGCTTAACTGAGATCTTAAACTTTCTTTTTGACTGACGGCCATCTCACCGTCTAGAAGACCACATTAGAGATTTTTGGGACACACACGTCTTAGATGTTATATTAACAGAATACAGCAGAGATGTGTCCCGAGACAAATCTTATTTAAGAGTTATTTGGACACTGATTTCGCAAATAAATCCCACTAAATCTAAGAGGTCATAAGGATCAATTTAAAAATTAAAATAATATCCCCGATGTGACTTCAGGGAACATAAGATTCTCCAAAGATAAGCCACCCAGGCAAACAGACGAAGTTAAGAAATTGCTAGTAAAGATGGACAAAGTTCTTGAAATTTTAAATATATATGAACCAAACAAATCTGGAATAATTATCCAAGTTAGAAACCTGGAATCACTTAAAAAGAGATACCTGTAAACTGCAGGCCTGTTGACATGGGGAGGAAATCTGAATTAAAATTCCTTTAAAAAGGGGATTTTAATGTATCATAAAAATAATAAAAAACAATAGCTTATTTTTACCAAATGCCTGTGAGTCACAGTGAATGTGGGCAATTGATAAGATTTAGACCCAGGCAGTCCCAAAGCCCTGTTCCTAACCACTCCACTGCACTGTCTTTCTCCTGCTACAAAAGTAAGCAAGTCCTACTTACTGAATGAAAATTACCTACTATCATAGGTATTTTTTTTTTTCATTCGCATCAACTTTTTTGGAGGGTAAGAAATAAGAATTTGAGGCCGGGCGTGGTGGCTCACGTCTGTAATGCCAGCACTTTGGGAGACTGAGGCAGGAGGATTGCTTGAGCTCAGGAGTTTGAGACCAGGCTGGGCAACATGGTGACATTCTATCTCTACCAAAAATACAAAAAGATTGGCCGGGCATAGTGGTGCACACCTGGAGTCCCAGCTACTCAGGGTGCTGAGGTAGGAGGACTGCTCGAGCCTAGGAGGCAGAGATTGTAGTGATCTGTGATTACACCACTGCATGCCAGCCTGGGCAACAGAGCCAGACCCTCTCTCAGGAAAAAAAAAAAAAAAAAAAAAAAAAAAAAAAAGAATTTAAGAGATATGATTATCTTTGTTTCTAAAGCCTTCTTGAATTTTGTAAAAGTAGTAGAAAATAATATAAGAGGAGAGACACCTGAAGTGACGCTAAGCCCAGCGTGGAGGTCACTTATGACTCTGCTCATCTGTCCTCTCCCTTTTTAGCCCCTTCTCTTTGCTCTCCATACAAAAGCCAATCTATGACAAATAGCTTTCCTTTCCAATTGCCTACTGAATCGGGGCTGATGGAAACATTACAAAATCTGTTTTCCATTTGCATGATAGCTCCCTGCCTGAAACTGTCAGTGCACAGGGCGAGGCACTCCTAAGCCCCATCAGAATCAGAGCTAAGATTAATCTCTTCTCTTGGCTGTTGTCAATGGGGCTACGGGCCTAGAATATAAATATCTCCAAATCCTCAAAGCAGATTAGTCAGTTGTGAAATATGAGTGTGGGAAATGTTTCCATATGTCCACAGCATTTTCTGGTATTTTCCACCAAACTTAATATATACACACAAAACTCCCATCCCCTGGAAAGTGCTCACGCCAGGCAGAAACTTACATGCAGAAGGAGATGATACTTGAGAATCCGCTGCACTGGTTTCAAGAGATAGGACCCCAGAGGCAGCGAGTGCTTCAGAGTTTCCTGACGTTCCCTGAAGAATTTGGCCAGTATCTTGTTCCTCATGCACTCTGTTAGCACAGCCACGGATCTGCAGGAAGAATTCATGTTTTTATCTAAATTGTAATGCTTTATGTGGATATTCAAGTTTTAAATGCCATTACAAGTGTAAATGCTCTAAAATGGGTAGGGTAGTTCCAGAGCTGCAGCCAGATCAGCACGCCTTTAGGTAAATTGGAGAAAGGGGTCCCTCTGGGAGGGTGAATTAGAAAAAGGCACTGGACCCAGTGGCAGTGGCACCCTGGACTCATGGCTTCTAAGGAACAAGTTCCTTCTTCCTAGGAGACGCAGCCTTGTGCCAGGGCCCATGGCTTGGCAAAATGTATCTGAGTGGGATTTTAGCCCCTAGCTGTGCCCTATCTGGGTATCTCTGTGCGGTGCTCACACGGCACGTCTGTATTCCATTTCCACAGGTTAGATTATAAAGATTAGGCAGACTTTATTTCTACTAAGAAAAAGGAGTTCCTTCCTGCTAGGAGATCCAGCCCCCTGTCACAGCATTTATCACCCCCTCTGCCGGCCCCTTTTATATGATGCACAGACTGTGACCCTATGTGGTGGCCTTCCTTAGAGACCTCTTCCCTTGGGGGAATCTTTGAACAGGTCTCCCTTTCCACCTCCAAATTGTTATCCTTGCACATAATACAGCTTCTGGGAAAGCCAGAGAGTCTTGCTCCTATGGGGTGCGCCTCAGATCAGGGTGTTCCAACAGTGGGTTAGAATTCCTTCAGCCCAGATCCCCCCGAGGTGCTGGGCATAGATAGCCCCAAAACATCTTAACGCAATGGTTGAAACAATGCTCCTATCACAAAGCAAGCTAATGGCTTGTGCAGTCACACACACGTAAAAATCTTTTGTTCTCAAAATGTAGAAGGAAGCAGGTGGAAATAATTTCAGCCCTTTTCTCCCTAAGTCAGTAACATTTTCAGGATTGAGAAAATCAGATAGAGCCAAACAACAAAATAAGGCTGTGAGAAAGTTAAATGGAAGTTTCATAATTAAACCATTAGAATCCCTTTTGTGCCAATCTACTTTGAGAAAAATCTATTCACACTGATTTATTTTCCCCTTGAGTCAAGATTTCAAAACTCCATCATGTAACCTAGGAACGCTTCTAAGGTTCTTTAGAGTCAGAATCGGCTGCTCTGTAGCCCTTTGGCCATCTAAAGGCTTGGGCTCTTGCTTAAGGGTAAAAACCTGCAACAAATTAGGAGTACGCTGAGCTCCAGGTTCCTGGAAGTCTTGGGCACAGGCAGGCATCTGAGGACAAGGACCTGGCCGGGTTTGCGCCCCTCCCTGGGGAACAGAGTGTGGGAGCTTGTGTCTCTTCACAGTAAAATCACTGAGGTGTGACTGGTATGAAGATAGTGGACACTGTCAAGATGTGCCTGCGACATTTAATATCATCAGCCTGGCTCCAAAGGGAGAAGGAAAATTGTCAGATGGGCTGAAATACCTGGCACTTTTGGCTTGTTAAGTGGGAGAAAGGAACTTCGGGTCTCAGAGAGCAAACTGATTGGATACAAGCAGACAAGTTAAAATATTTCTCTATGAATATGAAAACCACACAATTGGGCAAGAAATGGACATGTCTTCTTCACTGAGAACAACTTTTGAGTACCTCTCTGCTAACATGTTTCTTCAGAGTCAGACTCAATTTTTCTTTTTTTTTTTTAAAGACAACCGTCTCACCAGGCACGGTGGCTCATGCCTGTAATCCCAGCACTTTGGAAGGCTGAGGTGGGTGGATTGCTTGAGATCAGGAGTTCGAGACCAGCTTGGCCAACATGGTGAAACCCCGTCTCTCCTAAAAATACAAAAATTAGATGGGTGTGGTGGCACGTGCCTGTAATCCCAGTTACTTGGGAGGCTGCGGCAAGAGAATTGCTTGAACCTGGGAGGCAAAGGTTGCAGTGAGCTGAGATCGCGCCACTGCACTCCAGCCTGGGTGGTGGAGTGAGACTGTCTCAAAAAAACAAAACGAAACAATCCATAACTCAAAGTCTGCTAATCATGTGGAAAAAAAGGAAAATTAAAAGGCAGGGGGAGAATCACAGTTTCAACAACTTTTACAAGGACATATTCATAGTAGCACGAGGTCTTAGAAGTCGGAGGAGAAACCCTGGTTCAAATCCAGGTTGAGGCATTCATCAGCTATGCACCCCTCAGAGAATCACCTTACCTAGCAGAGCCTCAGTTACTTCATCCATGAAATGGGGAAGGGGCAGGGATGATGATGAACTAGCACTTATGAAGAACCTAGGAGGGGCCAGGCACTGGGATGGGTGCTCTGCTTTAAAAAAAAAAAAAAAATTCCTCAATGTCTCTGGATTGCTTTGAAAAGTTAAATTTAGTATTTTGTATGTACAGCATTTAGTACAGTGCTTAGGAATTAGTAAGGGCCCAACAAATGTCTTCTGGAGAAAAAAAAGAAATTCCTACAGTTGTAGCCCATCATCTTAGGCCCAACTCTCTTACTGAAATGGTCAATACATTGTCCAAGGATGCTTCCTACACAGCCCTTGTGACATTGATTTCCAATGCAAGAAAAACTGAACCAACAACCCAGGTGAGATGATGAAGCCCCTCTTCTCATCTAGGCTTATGATGATCTGTCCTTCCTCTGAACTCCCTTAAACTTATACAGTTCGTAAAATTTATTTGGAAAAAATAGAACCTGTTCTCTCCCCACCTAGATTATAAAAACTCATTAGCAATGTTTCCAAAATTCTTAAAAACATGACACACACAGAAAAGGGCTAGCAGGCAAGACTTACCCTGATGCGACAGCTTGCTTAGTTTCCTTTTGGAGATACCTAGTCACCTTTTTGGTTTCTCCATAGACTTTTTCAATTTTTCCCCACACTGGCTCTGCAGGGAGCCCCAAAGCCCAGATGGATCCATATCTGGGTACCCCTATAATCTGTTCTCAGCACGTTTTGCATTCTTCCCATATTATTCAGCACAAGGCCAGGCACAGAACACCTAACAACCATGTGTACTGCACCAGCTGACTTGAAACAATGTGAAAGTGAGCAAAAGTACTCTTGTCCCATTCTTGATCCATACCTTGGATAGTTAGTGCAATACTGGGTATAAATGTGGAACTCTTCACTCTGCAAGGAAACAGAAGACATTTTTATAGGAAACAAAGCACAGACACATTCATTTGAAAACAATAAAAAGAAATAGCATTTGGGCCTTGACATTTCTACACATATATATATAGGTATTATATAATTATAATTTTTTTTTTTTGGCGGGGAGTTTCGCTCTCGTTGGCCAGGCTGGAGTGCAATGGCATGATCTCGGCTCACAGCAATCTCCGCCTCCCCGGTTCAAGTGATTATCCTGCCTCAGTCTCCCGAGTAGCTGGGATTACAGGAATGCGCCACCATGCCCGACTTTGGTGGATTTCAATGTCTTTCACAATTTTTTCCTAGACTCTCAAAGAAAAGAGGTATGTAGACAGGGAGAGGAAGTGGCCGGAACTTTTGATGGTAAGACTGTCAGTCAGAATAACTAATTCAAGGCCAATGAATTACTAGCTCTTGCAAAATCTAAAATAAAATTACTTTTTTTTTTTTTTTTTTGAGATGGAGTCTCGCTCTGTTGCCTAGGCTGGAGTGCAATGGCACGATCTCTGTTCACTGTAGCCTCCGTCTCCACCTCCCCAGTATAAGCAATTCTTGTGCTTCAGCCTCCCGAGTAGCTGAGATTACAGGCATGCGTCACCATGCCCAGCTAATTTTTTGTATTTTTAGTAAAGATGGGGTTTCGCTATGTTGGCCAGGCTTGTCTCTAATTCCTGGTCTCCAGTTATCCGCCCGCCTCAGCTTCTCAAAGTGCTGGGATTACAGGCATGAGCCACTATGCTTGGCCTTGAAATTATATTTTGAAAAAGAGCCACAGATTATTTTGGTGGAGTTTCATATTCTGCAATTTTTTTAAACTTTTACTTTCTTTTACTTTTTAGACCACTTAATGCTAGATTCGCGTGACTCTAAGTGCCTATTTTTCTGGCAGCTTTAATGCTTTAATTTTTTAAAATTCTAAAATCTCTACTTAGAATCCTTCCTGTTAACCTCAACTGGAATTAGGTTAAACTTTTTTTAATGGAATTAGTTTAAACTTCAAGTAGAGAGAATGGTAAAATGAATCCCCAAGTTTCCATCGTCCAACCCCAATAATCATTAACTCCTTGTCTCTGCCCCCCGCCACTCCCCTGCTTCCCCATCATCCTGAATTAAATTCTAGACATCATTTTGCTTGTAAATAGTTTAACATGTATCTCTAAAATAAGGACTTTATTTTATTTTTTTGAGATGGAGTCTCACTTGTTGCCCCGGCTGGAGTGCAGTGGTGTGATCTTGGCTCACTGCAACCTCCGCCTCCTGCGTTCAAGCAATTCTCCTGCTTCAGCTTCCTGAGTAGCTGGGACTACAGGTGTACGCTACCACACCCAACACATTTTTTGAATTTTTAGTAGAGATAGGGTTTTGCCATGTTGGCTAGGCTGGTCTTGAACGCCTGGCCTCAAGTGATCTGCCTGCCTTGGCCTCCCAAAGTATTGGGATTATAGGCATGAGCCACCTGCCCAGACTAAAATAAGGAAACTAAACAGAATACCACTGTTACACTTAAATAATTCCATAACATCATGAGGTTTCACCAGTCACTATTCATATTTCATTTTTTCTTTTTAAAAGATTTTGTCTGTTTGATTTGCAAATAAAAATCACATAGAGCAGGCCGGGCGTGGTGGATCACACCTGTAATCCCAGCACTTTTGGAGGCTGCGGTGGGTGGATCACGAGGTCAGGAGATCCAGACCATCCTGGCTAACACGGTGAAACGCCATCTCTACTAAAAATACAAAAAATTAGCCAGGTGTGGTGGCGGGTGCCTGTAGTCCCAGCTACTCGGGAGGCTGAGGCGGGAGAATGGTGTGAACCCGGGAGGCGGAGCTTGTAGTGAGCCGAGATCGCGCAACTGCACTCCAGCCTGGGCAATAGAGTGAGACTGTCTTAAAAAAAAAAAAAAAAAAAAAAAAAAAATCACACAGAGCAAATGGCTGCTATCTCTTTAGTAGTCCCTTTTAATCTTTCAGTTCTCCCCTAGTTTTCTTCCTTTTGCAAGTGAGTTGAAGAAACCATACTGTTGTGCTGCACAGCCCCAGTTCCAGTATTACTGATGACATCCTTAGAGTTTCCTTGTTATTTATGTTTTTGAGATGGATTCTCACTCTGTTGCCCAGGCTGGAGTGTAGTGGCATGATCTTGGCTCACTGCAGCCTCTGCCTCCCAGGTTCAAGTGATTCTCCTGCCTCACCCTCTCAAGTAGCAGGGATTACAGGAATGCGTCACCACACCTGGCTAACTTTTGCATTTTTACTGGAGACGGGGTTTCCCCATGTTGGCCAGGCAGGTCTTGAACTCCTGACCTCAAGTGATCCACCCACCTTGGCATCCCAAAGTGCTGGGATTACAGGCGTGAGCCATCACGCCCAGTCTGGTTTCATTTAATATGCCCTGTCCATTATAGTCGTACTGGTTTAGTACAGACTTGCTCAGATTTAGGTTCCATACTTTGGCACAATACACTAGTGGCTATTTTGTCCTTCCTCTAATGGAAGTTCAGTGGAAGTCTAATGGAATTGGGAAGTCCAATGGACATAAAGTCTGGTTGTCTCTCTTCTGTGATGCTAACAACCATTGGTACTTATTGGCTAGATCTATTAATTTATTAGGGTTTGGGAAATAGTGGTATTTCTAATACTTTATTCCTTATTTATTAGCTAGAATCTTTCCAAAAATAGAACCTCCTTATATTAACTCTTGGTTACTCTGAAGTTTATGGTCTGTACGGGAAAGGCAGAATAAATGCGTAATTCTTTCCTTTTCATTTCAAGACAGGATCTTGCTCTGTCACCCATGCTGGAGTACAGAGGTGTTTTCATGGTTCGTTTCAGCCACAACCTCCTGGGCTCAAGTGATCCTCCCACCCCAGCCTCCAGAGTATCTGGGACCACAGGCATGCCACCACCTCTGGCTAAGTTTTAAACTTTTTTATGGAAACAGGGTCTTGCTGTGTTGCCCAGGCTGGTCTCAAACTTCTGGGCTCAAGTGATCCCCCTGACTCAGCCTCCCAAAGTGTAAGGGATTACATGCATAAGCTACCACACCCAGTCAATTCTTTCCTTTAATTTTCAAAATAATTCCTTGATTCTCCAGCATCATGCAAATGTGATCAATTTGGTGTTTTAATATCACTAAAAATTCATTAATATGGGCCTATTTAATGAATTTTCATTGCTTTCAGTTAATTATCTTCACTGATGCTCAAATTATCCCATTTTTGGCTAGTAGGAGCCCCTTCTTGAGCATTCATGACCTGGCCTATGGTGTTTTGTAGCTTGTTTTCTGGTGTGACAAGATGTTCCAGACTATCTTGTATATTTTGTGCCCTACAGTCATTCTTCATGGAGTCCCTATTCCTTCTAGCAGGAAACAGTGTTGGGAGACCACAATCTGGGTATCAGGGACACTCTTGCTGTGGGGTAATCATCATTTCTAGGATTTCTCAGCAGACAGAGGTAGGAAGTGGTGTGTTTTGTTGTTGTTGTTGTTGTTTGTTTTTGAGATAGAGTCTTGCTCTGTCACCCAGGCTGCAGAGCAGTGTTGTAATATCGGTTCACTGCAGCCTTTTCCTCCTGGGCGTGAGCCACCACGCCCGGCCTGCTCTGTGTGATTTTTATTTGCAAATCAAACAGGCAAAATCTTTTAAAAAGAAAAAAGGGAATATGAATAGTGACTGGTGAAACTTTATGATGTTATGGAATTATTTAAGTGTAACAATGGTATTCTGTTTAGTTTCCTTATTTTAGTCCGGGCACGGTGGCTCATGCCTATAATCCCAACACTTTGGGAGGCCAAGGCAGGCGGTTCACTTGAGGCCAGGTGTTTAAGACCAGCTGGCCAACATGGAGAAACCCTATCTCTACTAAAAATTCAAAAAATGTGTTGGGTATGGTAGTGTACACCTATAGTCCCAGCTACTCACTACGGCCTAGCGAATATTATATTTAAAAAATATAATATGTATATTATATATATATAAAATATATATAAATATATATAAAAAATATTTATTTATTTTTTAGTAGAGATGGGGTTTTGTCATGTTTGCCAGGCTGGTCTCAAACTCCTGGCCTCAAGTGATCTACTCACCTCGGCCTCTCAAAGTGCTGAGATTACACGTGTGAGCCACCGCTCCCTGCTCCGAAGAAGCCTAACCTCTATTCTTTTCCCTTCTAGTCTGTTCCCTCCATTCCTGTATCAATTTTTAATCAATTTTAATCAATTTTTAATCTTACAGGCTTTCATCTCCTATATAAACAAATGTTATACCAGTGATCCTCAAACTTGAGTATCAGAATTACCTGGAGGGCCTGTTAAAACATAGATTGCTGGGTTTCTGATGTAGTAGGTCTTGGAGTAGGGCCTAGGAATCTGCATTTCTAACAAGTTCCCAAGTGACGCTGATGCTGCAGGTCCAGGACCACATTTTGGGAACCACAGTGCTGTACACACACTTTTATCCACTCCCTTCCCCGAGGAGTGTATAAAGATTTTTTTTTTTTTTTTTGAGACAGAGTCTCACCCTGTCTAAGTCGCCCAGGCTTAGAGTCCGGTGGCGCAATCTCAGCTCACTGCAACCTCTGCCTCCTGGGCTCACGTGATTCTTCTGCCTCAGCCTACCTAGTAGCTGGGAATACAGGTGCCTGCCACCACACCTGGTTAATTTTTTGTATTTTTAGTAGAGATGGGGTTTCATCATGTTGGTCAAGTTGGTCTTGAACTCCTGATCTCAGGTAATCTGCCCGCCTCGGTCTCCCAAAGTGCTGGGATTATAAGCGTAAGCCACCATGCCCGGCCAGGATATTCTTTACTGTTATTGCTTCACAGTACTTCATTATGTGGATACCAAAGTTGATTCAAACAGGTTCTTATTTAGGGACTTGGCTGTTTCTAGTCTTTTGCAGTAACAAACATTAAATAGTATTATGCTTACATGAATTTCTGTCAGTGTGTCCTTGGAATAGATCTCTCGATGTAGGACTGATGGGTGAAAGGGTGAATTCAGATGCTAGATACACAGCCCAATTGCTCTCCATAGGGGCCGTGCCATTTTCTTTTCCTACAGTTGTGAGAGTGTCTGTTTCCCCATGGCCTTGCCAACATTTCAAGCATTGTACCAAATGTTCGAGCACGCTATTTTAAAAAGTCTAAATTAGTTGCCAACTTTTAAAAGTTGAAAGATACAAATATTTTTATTTCGACCAGGCACGCTGGCTCACGCCTGTAATCCCAGCACTTTGGGAGGCTGAGGCGGGTGGATCACCCGAGGTCAGGAGTTCAAGACCAGCCTGACCAACTGTCTCTACTAAAAAAATACAAAATTAGCGGGGTGTGGTGGCACATGCCTGTAATCCCAGCTACTCGGAGGACTGAGGCAGGAGACTTGCTTGAACCCGGGAGGTGGAAGTTGTGGTGAGCCGAGATCGCACCACTGCACTCCAGCGTGGGTGACAACAGCGAAACTCCGTCTCAAGAAGAAAAAAAAATATTTCAATTTCTAGCTTCTCCTGAAGAAGCATAAGACCCACCAGCCCTGGGCCTGCCATTTCACACGGCAATGACCATCCCCAGGAGACCAGGCAAACACCTCGATCGCTACAGACTCTACCTGGGCCCCTCTGTGCACCTGAGTTCGCTTATGGGTTCTTGAAGCCAGCTCCGGCTCCATGGATGAAAATGCCAGAGTGACTTACCCAAGGTCTATGAGCAAGCTAATGTACCAAATGGGGACTTTTCTCTGATTGGCTCATACTTTCTGAGTTTCTTGCTTTTTCTTTCCTGCCTCTTGCTATACTCAACCTGGAATAGAACAATATCAAGTTGACTTTCCTTACAATTTGGGACCTGCAGGATCATTTAAAATACAAATGAGAAAACAATGGTTTCAATGAAAGTAGGTTGACATTGCATAATATAGTGACCTACTTGTACCCAGCTATCATAAGACCTCACGACTTACGCACGATTGAATTTCTGTGCATTTTGTGATATTATGGTTCTATTCCTATTCTAAATTGGAGGGTTTTGATTTAAATCAGCTATATGTCCTTAATTGGAATTAAATGCAAGTTTGCCCTTAGGTTTGTGAAGCTCTGTGGACCTTACAAATGACGGTTTCACATAAAAATCAACAGTTCCTAGTTAGATACCATTATTTATTAAATATGCCACCCAAATCTGCTTAGAAGGATTTAGGGGAATGTGTTATACAAATATATACAAATTACAAGAAAATATATTCCTTCTAGTTCTTCAAATCTTTCAAATTGTAATTAGAGATGACATAGAAATGAGACATTTAATTATGAAAGAGCCAAAATATGATATAATCAGTGCTGACCAATCAAGCACATGGGTCCTTCAAATATTGATTGAATAGGGAGCCAAAGTAAAGCAATATGTATGATTTTAGGGTTTCTTCTGCCACAGGGTCCTCCTCTCCCTGATTCCTGAGAAGTTTTCACTGGACACTACAAGAAAGACTGAATATGTAAATAGCACATGGGAAAGGTAACTTTGACTTAAATTCACGCTAATCATATGACTATCCAATATCCACACTTCCTTGAGGATAATTTTAGAAAGTGGGTGGTACATGTGCATGCTTTCGTGTGTGTGTGTGCATGTGTGTGTGTATATATGCATGTGTGTGTGTGCACACACACTTCCTGGGCTCTAAAAGGAAGAAGACACAACACAACGAGGGAGAGTAGGCAGCTAAGGGGAGGTTGAGGCTCTAAAGACAGACTTTGTCTCCCTCCTAAATGTTGCCCTGGGTCAGCCTTGCTGCCAGTCAAGAGAAGGGATGGGTGTGAAGGTGGAGTTTGTAAAAGCAGCAAAGTGAGCCATTCTGGGTGTTTCCAGGGACCTAAAACAGACAAATGTTTACTGGAAGAAGGTTTGGCCTGCCCAGTAGGAAACTTTAATTTCCGTCCTTTGAGAGAACTGTGGGTTCATTCTTCTATGAGCATCAGGTAAAAAGCGACCATGTTCTCCATTGGTTGATAAGGACTTCTGTAACCTACACATACCATGACAGTAAGCAAGGTCAAAGATGAATCTCTGTGCAGGTCCCAGTGGTTCAGATAAAAACAGAAGTCAACTGTCAGCTTCACCTCTTTCATTAATGGCCTCCCAATTAAAGCAATTTTCCATTCCTCCCTAGAGTTGAGCAGCTGGTTGTGTTTCAGAAGATGTAACATCTTCTAAATGTCAGGGTGCTGAGTGAAAGGCAGGCAGTGCCTGAGCCCAGCACTCCCTCACGAGTCCCCGTTTCCATGCGAAAATGCAGAGTGCTCAAGTCAGTCTTCTAATTAAACTTGGCAATATTACAATGAAAAGGAAGATTTGGGAGTTGGCAACACAGCACATAAACAAACTTTTATGTGAATAATTAAGCGAGAGCTAAGCATACGCTGGAACATCTTTAATCAACTTGTGATTACAGTTACCAGTAAAAGCCCAAACATTTCCGAAAGCTTCTACGTTGTTTATGTGCTGCGGTTATTCTAACATATCTCCTTTGATATACTCAGCATATCTTTTTACCCATTTCGCCTTCTTTCATTTTTCTTCTTTTTTTCAAATCCCTGTCCAATTTTGACACAGGCAACTGTGAAAAGGATTGTAAGTTTAAGCTTACACATGGGTAAACGTGTGTGCACTAACATTTTACATGTGAACACACACACACAAAGTCAGGAGAGTTTTATATACGAGCCCATGGATTGCCTTTAAGGAGCTTTGCTCCAATAAAAACCAGGGTGTTGTGTTTGGAAACCATCCGGATGGATCTGCCGCCATCAGAAATGACCCTGTGGAACAGTCCAGAGCCAAGTCAGACTGGAACCACATCTCCCAGTTCACACCCGACTCCGGAGCTTGAAATACAGTGCTAATTCCCAGTGGGTCTCAGAGCGCCATCATGAACTTTTATTAAACCTTCGTGCATTTCAAACTACAACTGCAGAAACCACATGAAAGTTTGCTGCAAAACAATTTCTGCTAAAGGCTTTCCAAAGCTGTTGAATGTTTAAGATAATTTAAACAAGACAGGAATCTTTATATACTAGGTAGCATGCTGAGAAAGTAATGTAGGAAAGGCTCGCCGGGTAGGTTTCAGAATTCCATCTCCTATTCCAGTTCAGAGCACGAGCTCACTGCCATTTAAGCTTTGAAAGTCAAATCCTTTCCTTGTATTTTTTGAAACCATTGATGCAGCTTAAGAAAACAGTGGAAGAGTACATTTTTTAAAATGTAGGTGATTAATTCTGCGTCTCTCTATCCCTCAAAAGATAATTATCTATATTAAAGATAATCACAGAGACTAGGCTAGTGCCACATATATTATACGTAAAATATTTAGATTCTCTTGGACTTTCACTAAAACTAACCTTTCACTTTCACTAAACTAAAACAGTTTAGTGGTGTTTTATATTTTTCTAACATTCATCTTCTTTTTTTTCTTTTGAGACAGAGTCTTGCTCTTGTCACCCAGGCTGGTGTGCAATGGCATTATATCGGCTCCCACTGCAACCTCCACCTCCCGGGTTCAAGTGATTCTCCTGCCTCAGCCTCCCGAATAGCTGGGATTACAGGCATGTGCCACCACACCTGGCTAATTTTTGTATTTTTAGTAGAAACGGGGTTTCACCATGTTGGTCAGGCTGGTCTCGAACTCCTGACCTCAGGTGATTCGCTCGCCTCAGCTTCCCAAAGTGCTGGGATTACAGGTGTGAGCCACCGTGCCTGGCCTATTTTTCTAACATTCTTCTACTCCGGGCTGTCCCCTCCCAAGCTTTAAGTTTTTCCCAGCAAAGAGTAACATTATTCAGTTACTATACAAGTTCTAGAAAAACTATGAGATTAGCGTCTCCCTGGCTCCAGGAACAATACATTTTTGCTACTCAAACAAACAAACCAGAGAAAGATTAGTGGCTAACTCTATCTGATATGAAACAAACCAGTCATTTTAACTTTAAAATGAAAAATTCTGTACTCTGTATCTGTCTCAGTTGGCCCAGAAGGATGAACCCTGCTTACCTTGGACACAAAACACTCTGCTATGGCCACAGGATCATTTTCACAGTTTTCCAAATCTTGCAGAAGTTCACTAATAAAAAAATAACAGCCAGGAAGTATTAGTTTGTAGTCTTCTGGGTGAGTATATTTTGTATAATTTAAAAGTTTAAACATTTCCATGGCATTTACAAGGAATCATATAATTGGATAACTGAGGACCTGCTGTCATTGTATCCAATGATACAATGTTTACAATGATACAATGATACAATGTAAGGGACTTGCCCAAGGTCATGCTGGAGCAGGGGATTAAACCCAGGTGGAACCCATAGTTCTCCCACCAGAGCTAAGCCCTGCCTACCTTTAAGTTTGGCAGACATTTGTCATCATCTACATGAATGCTCATTGATGCTCATTCAGACATCAAATAGCTGCCTGGGTACCAGGTACAGTGTAAAGGATTAGGAACACATCAGTGAGCAAAGTGAGATATGGGCTCTCGGGGATCCCCAACCTTTTTGGCACCAGGGATCAGTTTCGTGGAAGACAACTGTTCCACAGACTGGATTGTGGGGATGGTTTTGGGATGATTCAAGCATATTACACTTACGGTTAGATTCTCATAACCTAGATCCCGCGCATGCACAGTTCACAGACTGGTATTGGTCTGTGACCTAGGGGTTGGGGACTACGTGGCTCTGGTCTTATGGAGCTTCCAATCCATTGGAAGAGTCAGGCATTCAATGAAATATCACACTAATGAATACAAAATTATAATAGAGATAGTGCTTTAGGAGAGATATGTTGGGGAGGGAAATACCTTTCCTCAAATGTAAACCTACGTTTTTGTTTTTTGTTTTTTTTTTTTACTGGGAGTATCACTATTTTAAGTAACAGCATAATACTTCATTGTGTGACTGTACCATAATTAATTCAATGAATCTCACACTGTTGGATAAAATTCTATATATGGTATTGATGGGTCAAAGAATATTCTTAGTGTAAATGTTAACACATTTCTAAATTGCACTCCACATGAGTTATATTAATATACACTTTACTATGCTAAGTGTTTACTTTAATGAGCCATATGTTATATATTTAATAAAAAGTGAAGTAGTTCTACAGGAATTATGATAAAAACAAGCAGTTTCTGGTTCTCTGCTTCTCATTCTTGATGGGCACTGCCCAGAAGCATTTCTGATTCTTTGGGCTGTTTCTGCTCTAAGAAGGTCCATGTCTCTAAGCATGCTGATAATGTGTTCTCATTATTTTTCAGTTTTAGATATTATTTACTTCTCAGTTTCCCCAAACTTACCCTTTTGTCTTCCCAATAGTTCTAAGATGTCTCTCTCTCTCTCTCTCTTTTTTTTTAAATTTTAGAGACAGGGTCTCACTCTGTCAACCAGGCAGGTCCTCCTGGGCTCAACTGATCTTCCTGAAGTGTTAGGTAGTGTGAGCCACTGTGCCCAGCCTTCTCAACTAGTTCTGTTATGTAATTTGATTCGATTAAATGTCAGAATTTATGTCTTTAAGACTATGTAAGTATTATGCCCTGTTAGCCTTACAGTATACCATGATTTCATTTCCTTTCTTAGAGAATCATGTTTTCCTTGGAGTTAAAATTGTTTCTCTTTTTTTTTTCCTTTTTTCAAGATAAACACTATTAATTTATTAGCAAGTTGTGTGCCAGAAGTATAAGTCTTGTCTCACTGTGTTCAAATATATATTCTATGGTTTGCATTTCTTTCTTGGTGACCTCTGCTCCAACCTGGACAGGCTGCTCTCCAGGCCTGCTGGTTCTTTCATCAACACCTTCCTAATGCTAGCCTTCGCTAGTCTCCTGTATTGCCATTTCCAATGTATTCCTTCCTTTGGGAGATTATAAAATTGAGCAATAGCTTTCTGAGTATGAGTAACAGGAGGTATGCTTTCTGAGACTCTTCCCATTTCAAAAATGCTCTCCCTTCACACTTGGCTAATAATGTCAGTAGATATAAAAGTCTTGGTTGGAAGTAATTTTCTCGGAGTATTCAGGGAGCTATTTGTCTACCTGTTGATTTATAGATTCTAACGCTGCTATTGAGATTCCAGTATCATTCTGATCCCCAGCCCATTCTGAAAGCTTTCAGAGTTTCTCTTAGTTGACATAATTACAAAATTTTGTGATAACAGGCTTTGGGTGGGTCTTTTTCATGCACTGAGCCAATGTACAAATTTGGGAAATGATCTGGATAGCAGTTCTCCAAGTGTGGTCTAAGGACCCCTGGGGTTCCTGAGACGAGACCCCTTTAGGAGGTCCACAAGGTTGGACCTCATAAAAAATACTGGGACATTATTAAATTTTTAAACTTTCATTCTCTCATGAGAGTACAGTGAACTTTTCCAGAGCTACATGACGTGTGATATCACAACAGATGGAAACTTGAAGCAGATATGAGAATTCAGTTGTCTTCTAGTAAGTCAGGCAGTAAAAAGATCTGTGAAAATGTAAAACAGTTCCAAAACAAACAAAAAAATTTAGTGGAAAAAGTAGTAAAATTATTTTTCTAGAAATATGTGGACTTGTTTCTTTTTTAGTATTAAATAAATAGATATCTTAACAGGTTCTCAGTTTTCATTTCTAATGTGGCAAACAAAACATAATAAAACACAAACAAAAAAGCTTTTTGGGTCCTTCACAATTTTTAAGCATGTAAGAGATCCTGGACCAAAACACTTGAGAATCTCTGCTCCTGGATGGGTGTGGTGGCTCACGCCTATAATCCCAGCACTCTGGGAGGCCGAGGCGGGCATATCACCTGAGGTCAGGAGTTCGGGACCAGCATGGCCAACACGGTGAAACCCCATCTCTACTAAAAAATTCAAAAATTAGCCGGGTGTGGTGGTGCACACCTGCAGTCCCAGCTACTCAGGAGGCTGGGGCAGGAGAATCGCTTGAGCCTGGGAGGCGGAGATTGCGGCGAGCCGAGATTGCTCATTGCACTTCAGCCTGCATGTCAAAAGCGAGACTCCATATAAAAAAAAAAAAAGAAAAAAAAGAAAAATCTCTGCTTGTGAATTATGTCTTTGATATTTCCTTCCTTCTAGTTTTAAAGTTCCTATTATTCACAAATTGAATATCCTGGTTTAATATGCTAATTTTCCTTATTTTTCCTCTTCTATTTTCTATCTTCCTGTTTATTGCTCCATTTTTTTTGGTGGGGAGAGACCTCCACTTTATTTCCCATCTATTTTTTTCCCCCATTTCTTGTATTGACTTTTTGTTTGTTTCAATCATCAGATTTTCAATTTCAAAGTTGTTTTTTTTTTTTGAGACGGAGTCTCACTCTGTCACCCAGGCTGGAGTGCAGTGCCACCATCTCCACTTACTGCAAGCTCTACTTCCCGGGTTCACGCCATTCTCCTGCCTCAGCCTCCCGAGTAGCTGAGACTACAGGCGCCCGCCACCACGCCCAGCTAATTTTTTGTATTTTTAGTAGAGACGGGGTTTCACCGTGTTAGCCAGGATGGTCTCGATCTCCTGACCTCGTGATCTGGCTGCCTTGGCTTCCCAAAGTGCTGGGATTACAGGCGTGAGCCACCGTACCTGGCCTCAAAGTTGTTTTTTTTAAAACATGCTTTTTGGATGTTTCTTGCTTATGCTTCTGTTCTTATTTCATGGGTGCAAAATCTTCCCTTATTTCCAAAGATGCCATGATGATGATAATGATTTTGTACTTTTCTTTCCTGTTCTTTGTTTTCTGCTGAGCTCCCTTTTTGATGATTTTAGCTTCTGTCATTCATATTAGATACTGCTCTCAAATTCTGAGTATCTTCATTTGTCTTTTCATATTTGAAAATGAGCCACAACGTCAATCATGAACTCTTCACAGGGATGGAGTTTATCGTGTGGTGTTCCTCATTCCAAGGCAGTGGTTCTGAAACTTTTGGCGTCAGGACCTGTTTATACTCTTAAAAAATTTAGTGAGAAGAGTAGCATTATTTCCCATTTTTGCAAATTTTTAATCTCTAACTTAATAGAACATAGCTGGATTCTCATATCTGCTTCTGCATTCTATCTGTTGCAATCTGTTGTTCTGGTTGAAGTATATCGGAAAAAAAAATCCAGCCTCACACAGATATGTCACTAGAAAAGGAAAGAGTATTTTAATGGCCTTTCCAATTAAGTATGGATAGTCCACTAATATCCTTCATATTACACTGAAACTCAGCAAGCGGTAATGGGTTAAAGACCTGTTTGAGTCTGACACCACGTCAATGCACTATACTGTTACTTTATTTTATTTTATTATTATTATTATTTTTTTGAGACAGAGTCTCGCTCTGTTGCCCAAGCTGGAGTACAATGACGTGATCTCGGCTCACTGTAACCTCCACCTCCCAGGTTCAAGCAATTCTCCTACCTCAGCCTCCCACCATCACGCCCAGCTAATTTTTGTATTTTTAGTAGAGACGGGGTTTCACCATGTTGGCTGGGCTGGTCTTGAACTCCTGGCCTGAAGTGATTGGCCTGCCTCAGCCTCCCAAAGTGCTGGGATTACAGACGTGAGCCACCACACCTGGCTACTGAACCATTACTTTAAAATCCAGTGGCCTATCTTGTATTTAGAAAGGATCTTTTAATACAGTCCCAATTCCAAACATTTTTCTCCATATTCCTATAAAACACTCCCTTTGTAAGATCAGAAAATATAGTGCTGATATTTATATCATTTTCTTTTATAGAAAGATGGGTGTGATTAAATTAACTCTTTTCCCATTTAGAAAAAAAAGTTCAGCTCTCTGCCAATACTCTTTTAATTTTAAATAAGCATGCTCTTTGAGGCTGAAGCTAATCTGACTGGTTTTCTTTTCTTTTCTTTTTTTGGAGATGGAATCTCGCTTCTTCACCCGGACTGGAGCGCAATGGCACAATCTTGGCTCACTACAACCTCCACCTCCCAGGTTCAAGAAGTTCTCCTGCCTCAGCTTCCCCGTAGCTGGGATTACAGCCTTGTGCCACCATGCCCAGCTAATTTTTGTATTTTTAGTAAAGATGGGGTCTCACCCTGTTGACCAGGCTGGTCTCAAACTCCTGACCTCCAGTGA